TTCTAACAAGATTAGAAAGATTACATGTCTGGCACATCCATAAAATTGGATTTTTAACTTCGCAGACAAATTAGCGGACCTTTGAAAATTTTTCTTTGAATTTAATCAAGTCAAGCATCAACTATCGGCGTACCATTGGTATTTTGTTCTTTATACAAGGTGAGTAAAATATTTTATATTATTGGCCTCTTCCCGTACTGCAAGAATGTACTATGTTTTACTATTTTTGATGTCATAAAGGAAAAATTCTTATCGTAGTAAAACATTTTACATTCTTTCAGGTTCTGGAACAGACATATATATTATATTTGTATAACTTTGTAAATTTGTCATTCTGTTTGCAACACCTTCAAATATTCTCCAAAGACCCCATAAGGTATATATTCCGTCTGTTAAAATCACGATATCGCTCGCAAGATTAAAGAAAGAACATATATACTACTCCTGGGATGTTTGGTATTGAAAAAGGTTTTTTTGGGTCCACGATTTGGTAAAGCTGCAAATTTTCGGTATTTTTGGAAGTTTGTTCAACCGAATTTGTTTTTGGTTTCTTGTTGGGCCGCAATTATCACTATCAAAAATTATCATAATGGTTCACTCTTTAGACGCCTACGTTGAAAAAACATTAAAAAAAACACGTATATGATGAAAAAATAAATTAATAAATCCACGCCTAAGTTGAAAAAATATAGACCAAAATATTCTCTTCTTACATGACCTCAAGGCTCATATAACAGATCATGTAAGAAGCGAATATTTTCTTCCATTTTGATTGAAATACCCCCGTAATGTAAAATTCGTTGTTTACGCTTTCAAACGATTAATTTAAAATAGAACGCATTTTGACAGCACTGATGAAATCATCTGGTCTTACTGTTTGACCTTATAAATGGGCCTTACATGACCTGTTAAATGGGCTATGTGTCTGACAAACCAAGAGAGTAATCCCCCGCTCTATTCAATTTCAAAGAGATCACACAATTGATAGTAACAGCCTGTGTTTACATAAAGTTGTAGATAAAATATCTGTGTGTAAAAGAATTCTTAAACAAACAAAAACACATTTAATATTTCTATTAAATTACAAAAATAACTTGAATTGCATCCGGATAATATTAAAGCATATTAGATATAGCTCCCATATATATTTTCGGCCGATTTTAACTAAATGGTGCACCACATACCCAATATTTATCGGATGGTCCAAAATATCCAAAAAATTTGTCCGATTGCGAGGAAATTTTGTATAACCCACTAGATTGAGCCTTGAATAACGTATGTTAAAAGTTGTTAAAATCGGTTCAAATTTGGATATAGCTCCCATATATATTTTCGCCCGATTTCATCTAAATGGTGCACCACACCCCCAATATTTATCCAATTGCGACAAAATTTTGCTCAACGTACCAAATTGAGTATATTTTAACATATGTTAAGTTTTGTTGACATCGGTTCAGATTTAGATATAGCTCTCATATCTATTTTCGGCCGATTTCATCTATATAGTGCACGAAAACCCAATGTGTGTCAGATTGCAACGACATTTTGCACAGGCTACTGAATTTAGTCCAAATTGCATTAAGTTTAGTTTGTTTTTAGTTTATGTTTTTATTTGAGTTTATGTTGTTCCAATAGCACCTCCTGCATATACACAGAGTGGTGTAGGGTATCATATAGTCAGGCCCGTCCGACTTTCGTCCTTTCCTTACTGGTTTTATTTAAAAAAAGATTTTTTTAAATATTTTTTGATACGTATATTTTTTTAAGAAGATTTTTCAAGGAATACGTAAAAATATTTGTGAAAAAATATTTTTCAAGCATCAACGTAGATTTTTTAAGAATTTTTTAAAAACTATTTTTTGATGCTAGAATTTTTTAAAGATTTCAAGAATTAAAAATATTTATAAGAATCCTTCGACAAATGTTGTGTAATAAATCCTCGCCTTCAGTTGGCCTTGAAAAATATTCTTATATAAACCCTCGCCTTCAGTTAGTCCTTGAAAATAATTTTTAATAAATCCACGTCCTTGAAAATAGTTTTTAATAAATCCACGCCCTTGAAAACCATTTTTAATAAATCCACGTCCTTGAAAATATTATTTAATAAATCCACGCTCTTGAACATATTATTTAATAAATCCACGTCTTTGAAAATATTTTTGCTTCTTAAATTTTTAAAAAAAAGTTCACGCTTGATTTTTTTATTAAAAAAAAAGGATTTTTTTTCAATATTGTTTGATGCGTATATTTTTTTAAGAAGATTTTTCAAGGAATACGTAAAAATATTTGTGAAAAAATCTTGTAAAAATATTCCTAAAGAAATGCACGACTTTTGTTGATGCTTGAACAAATATTCTCAAAAAAAACATCTATTTTGTTGATGCTTGAACAAATATTCTTAAAAAAAATCCAAGTCAATGGATTTATTAAATATTTTTTAAGGACAAGGAGAAGGCTTGGATTTATTAAAACTACTTTTCAAGAACCAATACAAAGGATGGATTGTTTTAAAAATATATTATAAAATATATAAAACCAACACAAGGCGTAGGTTTTTTTAAAATAATTTTCAAAAAACAACACAAGACGTGGATTCTTTAAAAAAATTTTCAAGCATCGACAGAAGGCGAAAATTTTTAAAGAATATGTTTTCAAGCATCAGGAGAAGCCGAAAATCAACCTAAAACATAAATTTTTTGAAAATATTTTAGTTTGGTTCTCACATCAATATTAACAGCATTATTATCGCTTTTCGATTATATTTTTATTTTTTGTTTTTATATAGTATGTTTTCATTAGTGTCATATAATTATGGCGAGTTTTGTGTCGTAGACACAAAAAAAACCAAACCATTTGACGGGGACGGATATATTTTTAAATACAAAGGCGGATCCTATCTGGGAACGATAATAGCAAAAAGCGGTAAATTAATGTAAGAGGTGTATTTAAAGTTATATTGACAGTTTCATTTCCTAGACAACAAGGAAGAACTTTCTAATTTAAAGAATATAAAAGAAGACGAAGCCAAAAGGCAAGAAACACAGCCAAAACAAAAGAATACTTATTCATCACAAGCGATGGAAACTGTAAGGGATTCTATACAAAATATGTCATCGTCCATAAATAATGAAATGTTACAAAGGTAAGTTAGTATATATATTTTTACAAGAACCTGCACAATTTTTCAGTTAAAATAAATTATATTCGATTTAGTTATAAATTTGCACGAATTGGTATAGATATGCAATAAGTTTAGATCAAATTGGTTCATATATAGATTCCAAATATGTGTAGTTCTTCTCTTGTTTAATACATATAAGAGATATTTGAAAAGAAAAAGAAGTAGTTTTTATTTACCTTCTTATTCTAAATAAAATAATCAAACAAGAACCACCTGATTATAAAACCTTACTTGGAATATGTTATATAACCCATATCTATGCCTACCCATGATGTAACTGTTGTTGCGTAGTTTTATTAACATTTTCATTGTTTACAGCCTAAAAACTTTTAGCTTGGTTGCTTACGACACTGATGATTATTTTGTTATTAACTCAAAAACTATAACACAACTCCAAGGCAGTGATTGTGTTGTGAAATATAGAGGTGGTTTTTATTCTGCAAAACTAATTGCATCTTATGGTGAGTTCGTCAATCAATATATGGATTTTGTATATTACTTTTAAAAAATAAGACATATACACTATTGAACAAAAACATATATTGCTTCCCAAACAGTTATTTAGCGTAGACATATTCGACACAATGATGATAATTTTAATTCACAACTAATCATTTTACTATATTTGGAAGTACCATGACGTTATCGTTTTGGAATTTAATTTACACTACACATGTTTTACATACACATATGATTACTTCAAAAATATAAATACAAGGTGTCTGAGATTGTCATTAATATACAGAAAAATGATAAAACATTTATAAATTTATATATAATTTTCCACATTTCATAATATAAATTTGTTATGAAGAAAACACTACTTTGAAAATAATTTTTTAATTGCATACTAGCGCATAACCCTTTTGTTGTTATTGACGATCTTAAACATTTAAAGTATTTGAATATCTGATGTAAACAAATTATATACGAGCAAAAATAAAAAAAAGTTTTTCTATAGATGACAAAAAGAAACTTCTGGAATTAAAGCGAATGAAAAGAAGACAAAGTCACTCAAAACATGTAGACCAAAAGCCTACATATGAAGTAAATAAATGTATACCAAATTCTACAACAAATGTCCAGAAGAGTTCAGAACCAGAAATTATAAATGACAATTCAATGGAACTACAAAATAAAAACCATCACGAAACATCGGGAGAAGATTCAAATTATTCATCATATGTAAGAAATCACGAAATAATATATAATTCTGGTAGTGAATGTTCTTTAAATGCTTTTGACGTAAGTTTGGCAAAAAAACAAGGGCATCTTAAGAACTCTACAGTCTTACAAAAAAGCACGATGAACTCGAAAGATTATAATCCCTCTAAAAGTAACAAAAATGACACACTACTAGACGAATCGGAGCCTGTTATAACGAAAGTGACTGGTATTGAAATTCCTTCATCTGAAAATCATTCCAAACAAAGTGATCATATATTGTCGGACACTTCAGAGTCAACGTGGGATGAAACTTCATCAAGTGGCGAATCTGTTTCTTTTAAAAATGCAGTGCTTAAAACCCAACGACTAAAAAATTCTACTGCTATTAAATCATCAGGTAATAGAAGTACGTTGGCTACAGAAAGTTTTGATTCCTCTATGCCATATAATGACAAATCTGTGTCAGAATACCTACCGGATTCATCTTTACAAAATACAACAGTAAATACAAGTTCCATTGTAGAAGTTAACACCGCTCCAATTCAGATAGATTCGTTAAGAGTTCCGTTTTCAAAATCAAAACTAAAAAGACATTTTTGCATGTATTGCAAAACATTGCAGTGCAAAATTGCTCGACATTTATTCTTAAAACATAAAAACGAAAATCTAGTTAAACAAGCAATGGCACTTCCCAAATTGAGCAAAGAACGTTTAAAATTAATTGAAGACATTCGAAAACAAGGAGATTTCATACACAATACATGCAGTGATCAGAACACTGGTATTTTAATTGTATCTAGACGACAACAACAAAAAACAAACCGAAAAGCCGACGACTATATATGCTGTCCAAAATGTAAAGGATTTTATACAAAATTTGCATCACGACAACACAGTAGGAAATGTGTTCAAAAACACAACTCCAGATCAAATTTTATTGAAGGGCGAAAATTAACTCAATATATACACCATGTTGCGAGTCCTGCAATGAAAACAACGATATTTCCTGTTCTCCGAAATGATAACATAACCAAAGCAATACGTTTCGACGAATTAATTATCCGATATGGTAACAGATTATCCGAAAAACTTTCTCAAAGTCACCACCATGATCAAATCCGAGCAAACATGCGCCTTTTGGGTAGATTTAAAATAGAATTTATGAAAATTGTGCCGGAGATATCCGAATTGAAAGATATATTCAAACCATATTTGTTCGATAATGCTATTGAGGCACTTCGAAAAACAGCAAAGTGGACCTTTGATAAAGGATTCGCAACGCCAGCTGTTGCCACATCCTTGTCATCTTTAATAAAAAAATGCGCACGGATACAACGAAATGAATTTATTAAATGTCAAAATGAAGATTCTAAATGTAACTTAGACAATTTTATTTCTCTTTGGGTAGAGGAAACACCCGTACAAATCAACAAAAAAGCTCTGGAAGATCTCGAAAATCGGAAAAGGACAAAAACTAATGACTTGCCAAGTAAAAACGATATCAAAATTTTGTATGATTATTTAAGAACTATAATGCTTGATTCCTTCGCCGAATTATGCTTAAACTACAATTTCATTTCCTGGAAAAAACTTTTGGAATCTACATTAATATTTATCCAAGTATTCAATCGACGAAGAGCTGGGGAAATTGAAAGGTTAACAATTGAAAACTTTAATAAAAAGGAACAAATAACTGATTGTGTAGAAGCTGGCATGTTGGAAAATATCTCTAAACAATCCATTAATTTCGCCAAACAATTCGTTCGAATCACGTTACGGGGAAAGTTAGGAAGAACCGTGAGCGTTTTGCTCGACCCACTGTGTATTAAGTCCATTAACATTATTCTTAAATTCAGAGAAAAGGCTGACATTTCCAAGACAAATCCATATATATTTAGTGCGCCTGGTAAGTCCAGCTTAGCAAAAAGTTACTGCAGAGCATGTCCTTTGCTGAGAAAATTTGCATCAGAGTGTGGAGCATTGATTCCCGATACACTTAGAGGCACAAAACTGCGAAAACACATAGCAACATATACCTCATTGCTGAACGTGCAAGAATCGACGGTTGATAGACTTGCTAACTTTTTAGGCCACCACAAAGACATCCACAAAAGCATATATAGGGTACCGGTGCCAGTAGCCGAAATTACAAGCGTGTCAAAAATTTTATTATCGGCTGCTGGGTGCAATTTGCAAAATAGTATCGAAACTAGTAATTCTAATAGAAATATAGTTTCTGATAACGAAGGGAGTATGCAATATGAAGGTTTGGAGGAAAACTCTGAAGATTCAGAAACAGATATGGTAAAACCGAAGAGACGTAGTAGTAAGTAAAAATTGTAGAAACTATAATTCTTAATATTTTTGATTACTTAGCTGTATTTTAACCAACTTAGTACTACACAAATAACAATATTTTCAATATTTTAGCATCCCCTTTCGGACGGACAATACGCAAGAGGTGGAGCAGTGCTGAAATTGATTCCGTTAAAGAAACATTTGGAGATATTTTGGCCTTGGAGAAGTTGCCTTCCATAAAGCAATGTGCAGCAGCTATAGAAAAAAATATCTGCCTATGTAAAAGAACACCGGCTCAATTAAAAACATGGATAGACAACCAGCGAAAAAAAGTTGCCGTTCGAGGAAATTAAACAATTTGGTAACAAGTTTTAGTATTAATTTATAATCTGTTTCTAACAGCTTGTTTTTCAGATTTCCCCACTTTCAACACACAGTCACCGCCACAACATTCCACGGACCCAGTGTTTTCTTACTTTTTTTAGTGATATAAGCTTTTCATGCATATGAAATACTCTTGCCCATGTATGGGATATGTTCACACACACGCACACACAATTACAATAATTTTATTTCAAAATATTTTTATCATGTTTTATTAATTCTATGAATGCTGTAAAATTTTTATTGACGATTAATTTAAATTTAAAGCCTATTCTTTAATAAGTATTGAAAACGTGTTTTTTTATGAATAAAAATATTCATTATTAATTTATTTTGGCTTATGTTATTATTATAGTACTTATATATATTTTTTTATAAAATACATCTTTAGCCGTTTTCGTGTACTCATTTCATTTAATTTGTCATTTCTTAATTCACTTCATGGTAATATAAAACCGACCGAAAACTTATAATAACTAAATACAGTACCCAAAAAATACTTACTTATTTACAATAACTTAAAGAAATTAATACTTATGAGCACTAAATGGTACTATATTTGGTACAATTTGATTTTTAGGTGAACTAATAGAGCTAGAATCATTAAATTTGGTGTCAGGATCACTGTTGAGGTGTAAGCTTGAGATATGTAAAAGATTTAGAAATTTGTATTAATGTGTACTAAATTTGGTACAATTTGAATTATGAGTGAACCGATAGAGTTGAAATTCTGAAACTTGAATTTGGGATCACTGTGGGGTTGGGTATGTAAGAAGTTTTAGAATTTTGTACTAAGTGTACCAAATTTGGTACAATTTAAATTGAGAGTGAAGCGATAGAGTTGGAATGTTGAAATTTTGAGGTGTAGGATTGGGGTATGTAGGAAGGTTTGGAAATTGGTACTACTATGTACTAAATTTAGTACAATTTGATTTGTGGGTGAACAGATAGAGTTGGAATCCTGAAATTTTGATTTAGGAACACTGTGGAGGTGTATTATTGGGGTATGTAGGAAGGTTTAGAAGTTGGTACTACTGTGTTCTAAATTTGGTACAATTTGAATTGTGGGTGAACATATAGATTTGGAATCAGAAACCTGGATTTTGTTTCACTGTGGAGGTGTAGGATTGGGGTATGTAGAAAGTTTTGGAAATTGGTACTACTGTGTACTAAATTTGGTACAATTTGAATTGTGGGTGAACCGATATAGCTGGAATCCTGAAACTTGGATTTAAGATCACTGTGGAGTGTAGGATTGGAGTATGTAGGAAGTTTTGGAAATTGGTACTACTGTGTTCTACATTTTGTACAATTTGAATGGTGGGTGAACAGAACAGAGTTGGAATCCTGAAATTTTGATTTAGGAACACCGTGGGGGTTTAGGATTGGGGTATGTAGGAAGGTTTGGAAATTGGTACTACTGTGTACTAAATTTGGTACAATTTGAATTGTGGGTGAACCTATAGAGTTGGAATCAGAAACATGGATTTTGGGTCACTGTGGAGGTGTAGGATTGGGGTATGTAGGAAATTTTGGAAATTGGTACTATTGTGTAGTAAATTTGGTACAATTTGAATTGTGGGTGAACCAATAGATTTGAAATTCTCAAATTTGGAATCATTGTGGGGGTGTAGGATCGGGGTATGCAGGAAGTTTTGTTGGATGGTTGCGGAGTACTAAATGGTACTCAAATTCATTTTATGGTAGATATTAATGTGCAGATTTATTTGTTTTTCTGACATATGCAGTATTTTGTGAAAATAACATAATATGTTAATATATGTTTAAATTATTCCCACATTCGCTAACGAAGTAACAGGTATATGCTATATATGATATATGTAATGAATTCGGAAATTCGTACTAGAATGGTACAAAAAGTACTAAATAAGATAACATTTGTATTTGGCGAACCGGTAAAGGTAGAACTCTTAAATTTTAAATGAGGGTCACTGATGGAGTGTAAAATATATATAGCAAAGAGTTTTTTGGACATTCGAACTATAAGTATGCGAAAAGTTCTAAATTTGGTACAATTTCGTAGCATGTGAATGAATTGAGCTAAAAATTTGAAATGCGAATTAGGGTTGAGATGTAGGGTCTATTTAAAGAGATTGTTTTTGAAAGAGTGACTCATGGGTACGAAAAGTAATATATTTGGTACAAATTTTTTTCGGAGGAACAAATCGAGCTGGAATCCTGAAATTTGAAATTAACATTACCGTCGGATTGAGATTTGTACGTAATTTTGGAATTGTTTACTTATGTGTACGAAAAGTACTAAATCGGACTATAATTGGTACAATTTAGATTTGGGTGAACCGATAAAGCGGGAACAATGAAAATTGGAGTCAGGATCATTGCAGAGGTGTAGGATTAGGTTCAGGATTCGGTTTAAGAAATTAATACTTTTGGCTACTAAGGAGGAGGTGTAAGATTGAGATATGTAGGAAATTTTAGAAATTTGTACTAATGTGTACTTAATTTGGTACAATTTAAATTGTGGGTGAACCGATAGAGGGAATCCTGAAACTTGGATTCAGGATCACTGTGGGTGTGTAAGATTAAGATATGTGGGAAGTTTTAGAAATTTGTACTACTGTGCACTAAATGTGGTACAATTGGAATTGTGGGTGAACCGATAGAGTTTGAATCCTGAAACATGGATTAAGGATCACTGTGGCGGTGTTGGTTTGGTTAAGTAGGATGTTTTGGAAATTCGTACTACTGTGTGCTAAATTTAGTACAATTTGAATTGTGGGTCAACCGATAAAGTTGGAATCCTGAAACTTGTATTAAGGATGACTGTGGGGGTGTAGGATTTGGGCATGTAAGAAGTTTTGCAAATTGGTACAACTATGTACTAAATTTGGTACAATTTGAATCGTGGGTGAACCAATAGAGTTGGAATCCTGAAACTTGGATTTAGGATCACTGTGGGGTGTATGTTTGGGTTAAGTGGGTTGGGTTCGTACTACTGTGTACTAAATTTGATACTGTTTGTATTTGGTTGAACCGATAAGACTGGTATCCTGAAATTGGGGAAATAAGCTTTTCAATGGATTATATGAAGTATATAGTAAGGGAAAGCAATGGAAATGAAATCGATTATATTATTTCTGTTGGGTGGTTGAGGTGGGTACTTATGGAATTTTATATGAATGTGTATTAAATGTCGTTTAAAAACGACAACTTATTGAACTTTGTATACACACGTGGTGTTGTGTGATTATTGTGAACCCCCGATGCAACGAAAACACAATGTAAATAGTGAAAAACCGCGAAAAAGCCTTTCAATTTATAAACGTAAGAAGGGAATATATATTCACTACTTATTTCAATCAACTTAATAAAAATCTGGATACTATAAAGAGACTTTGAAGACCGCGAAAAGAAAATCAAAGTCCCTTCATATATTTCGATTTGCACGAAATTTGGCACCGGGTAGTGAATTAGGTCCAGAATGATATGTGCTAAGTTTCGAGAAAATCGATTCAGATTTTATATAGCTCTCATATATAGTTTTGTCAGATTTTATGTAAAAGGTGCACCAAAGCCCCCCATTCTCGGTGTCATATTTTTTGTTATTCCGATCTACTCTTGAAGATATAGCCGATTAATTGAGTCAGCATCAAGTGACGGCAATAGTGATTCTTAAACGCATTTCTCGAATCCTAATAATCCAATCGGTTTATAAATGTCAAAAATGTTGTTGTAATGTTGAACCAAAAAATTAAAAAACAAAATTATAAATGAAAATATATTCACTACTTATTTCAATCAACTTAATAAAACTCTGGATACTATAAAGAGACTTTGAAGACCGCGAAAAGAAAATCAAAGTCCCTTCATATATTTCGATTTGAACGAAATTTGGCACCGGGTAGTGAATTAGGTCCAGAATGATATGTGCTAAGTTTCGAGAAAATCGATTCAGATTTTATATAGCTCTCATATATAGTTTTGTCAGATTTTATGTAAAAGGTGCACCAAAGGCCCCCATTCTCGGTGTCATATTTTTTGTTATTCCGATCTACTCTTGAAGATATAGCCGATTAATTGAGTCAGCATCAAGTGACGGCAATAGTGATTCTTAAACGCATTTCTCGAATCCTAATAATCCAATCGGTTTTTTAGTACCCAATTAATAATAATAAAACATTTTTTATATTTTTTTGTTGTTGTATAATTAATTTATTTATTGCCATAAACTTAATAATTTTGTGTTTTTATTTTTTTGGGAAGATTTTTTTTGAGGCGGAAATAAAAATTTTGAAGTGACGGAGGATATTTTAGCCATAAGTAAAAAAAAAAATAGATTAAAAACAAGTGAGCCGAGCAGTATAGTCGAACGGGGCCGACCATATGATACCCTACACAACTTCAACGAAAATTTGAATTCCTGTAGTTCTATATTCTGAGCTTGAGCAATATTTCGCAATATTTGCACCCTCTTGGCCGACTAGAGGTAAACAAATATTCAGTACAGCCCTTCTAAGTGCTTGTCTAGATTCCCTTCACCGTGGGTTGTGTTGTGCTATTCGGCCTGTGGCCTACAAATCGACTCGTAAAAACACAAAAAAATAAGTTTTTGGTCCACTTCAGCCCAAAATTATTATCTGATCATCACCGAAAATTAAAGGCGTTGTCCTTGACCATAACTGCAACCTCATGGAGCATTTCAAAGCGATCACCCCTATATTTCCGCCCTCCAGTGTGGTAATGGTTTACTAAATAATATTTGAATACCTAAGCACCTGTTAATAATTAAGTGTAACTCCCGCATCCGAGTACATACGATAATATAATTGGTATAAATTTAAAGGTCAACCACTCTAATCGCAATAGAACACAAATTTTGTCATTTTTCACACAAAAGTCAGGGTCTATTTGACCCGCTAAATATTGACCGATCTTTATCAAAACTGGCATGTTTATTCTTTGCCCCGATCCCATTCTCCGTGTAAAAATTCGCAATGTTTTGTGAAGCGACCAGAAAACCGACAAAAATAAAGTGTTTGGTCCATTTCATCCCCTTAATATCAACTGATCTTTACCAAAAACCATAGGGATCTTCATTGGCCAGAAGAACCCATCCTACATGCAAAATTTCGTGAAGATTGGTCCATAACTGTGGCCTTTATCGTGTTTACAAATTATAATGGACAGACGGACGGACGGCCACACATGTCTAGATCGACTCAGCTAGTCGAGATATGACGATCGGTATACTTAACGGTGGGTCTAGGACCAACACGTCGCGGCGTTACAAACTCTTGGGGCTGCACAAAACTATAATACCCTGACATACCCTGAAAGCATTGTTCTTTTGGTATTCATGGGTCATTATTTGAATACGTATCATAATTTTCAGGCATCCACATCAGCAGGAAATAAACATATTGCAAACAAATTAAAAATTTATAAACAATTTATAAAATTTGGAAAAGTTACTTCAGTTCAACCATTAGAGCCCAATCAGCCTTAATTAAATCATCACGGAAGTAATCCTTGCAAGCATCGAGACCTTCGCCAACTTATCATCAGCTTGAAAATGACGGCCAAACATTTTTGGTGATTCACCGGGTATGGGTTCACGTTTAACCCAAATCTCCAGACCTTTGCGAGGGAATGAGGTGACAATGCCATGTATTTTGTTAAGTATTTTTTGGTGAGAGAACATCAAAAAGTGCATTTTCCATTAAAATGTGTAGCCACAAATTTGACACTAATATTGGAAAATGCGTCTTGTCAAGTCTTTACGATTGTATGTCTTTGACTTCACTTCAAGTACCTTCGTTATTGGCAAGTTTTTCTTCGTCCTCCTTTGTAGCAGTTGGAACATTTTTAATTTTGATTTGCCATTTGCAAACATCAAAGACATAGAAACGTAAAGACTTGACCAAGGTATATTTAATAAGATAGCCGCATCGGCCCAGCTGTTGGACAAATAAATGTCAAAAATGTTGTTGTAATGTTCAACCAAAAAATTAAAAAACAAAATTATAAATGAAAATATATTCACTACTTATTTCAATCAACTTAATAAAAATCTGGATACTATAAAGAGACTTTGAAGACCGCGAAAAGAAAATCAAAGTCCCTTCATATATTTCGATTTGCACGAAATTTGGCACCGGGTAGTGAATTAGGTCCAGAATGATATGTGCTAAGTTTCGAGAAAATCGATTCAGATTTTATATAGCTCTCATATATAGTTTTGTCAGATTTTATGTAAAAGGTGCACCAAAGCCCCCCATTCTCGGTGTCATATTTTTTTGTTATTCCGATCTACTCTTGAAGATATAGCCGATTAATTGAGTCAGCATTAAGTGACGGCAATAGTGATTCTTAAACGCATTTCTCGAATCCTAATAATCCAATCGGTTTATTAGTACCCAATTAATAATAATAAAACATTTTATATATTTTTTTTTGTTGTTGTATAATTAATTTATTTATTGCCATAAACTTAATAATTTTGTGTTTTTATTTTTTTGGGAAGATTTTTTTTGAGGCGGAAATAAAAATTTTGAAGTGACGGAGGATATTTTAGCCATAAGTAAAAAAAAAAATAGATTAAAAACCAGTGAGCCGAGCAGTATAGTCGAACGGGGCCGACCATATGATACCCTACACAACTTCAACGAAAATTTGAATTCCTGTAGTTCTATATTCTGAGCTTGAGCAATATTTCGCAATATTTGCACCCTCTTGGCCGACTAGAGGTAAACAAATATTCAGTACAGCCCTTCCAAGTGCTTGTCCAGATTCCCTTCACCGTGGGTTGTGTTGTGCTATTCGGCCTGTGGCCTACAAATCGACTCGTAAAAACACAAAAAAATAAGTTTTTGGTCCACTTCAGCCCAAAATTATTATCTGATCATCACCGAAAATTAAAGGCGTTGTCCTTGACCATAACTGCAACCTCATGGAGCATTTCAAAGCGATCACCCCTATATTTCCGCCCTCCAGTGTGGTAATGGTTTACTAAATAATATTTGAATACCTAAGCACCTGTTAATAATTAAGTGTAACACCCGCATCCGAGTACATACGATAATATAATTGGTATAAATTTAAAGGTCAACCACTCTAATCGCAAAAGAACACAAATTTTGTCATTTTTCACACAAAAGTCAGGGTCTATTTGACCCGCTAAATATTGACCGATCTTTATCAAAACTGGCATGTTTATTCTTTGCCCCGATCCCATTCTCCGTGTAAAAATTCGCAATGTTTTGTGAAGCGACCAGAAAACCGACAAAAATAAAGTGTTTGGTCCATTTCATCCCCTTAATATCAACTGATCTTTACCAAAAACCATAGGGATCTTCATTGGCCAGAAGAACCCATCCTACATGCAAAATTTCGTGAAGATTGGTCCATAACTGTGGCCTTTATCGTGTTTACAAATTATAATGGACAGACGGACGGACGGCCACACATGTCTAGATCGACTCAGCTAGTCGAGATATGACGATCTTTATCTGTAAGTAAACCGACTAACATCAAGTAAACCGACTAACTTGAAGCAAACTTTACGCACGCTATTTGGTATGCTTCACTGTTTAAAATGTAATATCAATGAAGCTATGGAAGCTATGCTATATCTAGAGATTAATTTATATTAATTTCAGTAGCCAATCAGCCTAGCTATGGTTCTTTAATGCAAAATTCACATTAAATCTGACGAAAATATATATTGGAGCTATATCTAAATCTTAACCTATTTTCACGAAACTTAGCACACATCATTCTGGACCCAATTCATTGGCCTATGCCAAATTTCGTGCAAATCGAAAGATATATAGGGACTTTGGTGCCCCATTTACCTTAAATCGGACGAAAATATATATTGGAGCTATATCTAAATCTGAACCGATTTTCACGAAACTTAGCGTACATCATTCTAGTCTTAATTCAGTGCGCTGTGCCAAATTTCATGCAAATCGAAAGGTATATAGGAACTTTGGTGCCCCATTTACATAGAATCGGACGAAACTATATATGGGAGATTTATCTAAATCTGAACCGATTTTCACGAAACTTAGCACACATCATTCTGGACCTAATTCAGTACTATATGCCTACTATATACTATATATAAATTTCGTGCAAATGGAATGATATATAGGGACTTTGGTGCACCATTTACCTTAAATCGGACGAAACTATATATGGGACCTATATCTAAATCTGGACCGATTTTCTCAAAACTTGGCAGACATCACTCTAGGCTCACTTCAGTACGTTATGCCAAATTTCGTGCAAATCGAAGGATATATAGGGATTTTGGTACACCATTTACATGAAATCGGACGAAACTATATATGGGAGCTATATCTAAATCTGGACCGATTTTTCCCAATTTCAATAGGGTTTGTTTTTGGACCAAATAAGTGACTTGTGCCAAATATCATCCAAATCGGATCATAAATGCGACCTGTACTTTGTTTACAATTTAACATCTACAGAAGGACGGACGGACATGCATAAATCGACTCAGAAAGTGATCCATGCCTATCCTCAAAAGGAACCATGTGTCTATCTCCTTTCCTTTTGTCTGTTACAAACATATGCACAAAGACATAATACCCTGTACCACAGTGTGGTGAAGGGTATAATAAATAGGGGATGTTTTTCTGTATTCATACACAAGAGAAAAACTTGTGAATTTGCAAACAAATTTTTTGATTATTTCTCAACATTTATTTTAATAATATATCAAAATAAAGTTCTCCGATTTATACAAAAACTAAAGAACATTAATTAATTCACACAAATATATAACAAAAAACCAGTAAGGAAAGTAGTAAAGTCGGACGGGTCCGACTTTATGATACCCTTCACCACTATGGGTATATTAAACAGGACTATTAACATGAAATTGGATGAAATAAAATATGTGATATTTATCTAAATGTGACTCTACCTAGATCTATCCATAAAGTATGTAAATCGACTTCAAACAAATATAAATAGGTCATCCGTTGGGCTATGTCTGTACTTCTACAAAACGCAACTACGTAATTCTATGCTCAATTTTGTACGTTGTGCAAAATTTGATGTCAATTTACTTGAAATCGGTCGAAAATATATATATGGAAGCTCTATCCAAATATTAAGCGATTTCAAACAAATTTGTCACAGGTTAGGTTATACTAATTTCAGAACGTTTTGTTCCTATCAGCCTATTGGTTCCTTGGTGCATCAATTACTTAAAATCAATATATAATAAAAGGGAACTATATCTAAATCTGGACCGATTTTCATGAAACAAGGCAGACATCACTCTAGGCTCAATTCAGTACGTTATGCCAAATTTTGTGCAAATCGAATGATATATAGGGACTTTGGGGCACCATTTACATGAAATCGGACGAAACTATATATGGAAGCTATCTCTAAATCTGGACCGATTTTCTCGAAACTTGGCAGACATCACTCTAGGCTTAATTCAGAACGATATGCCAAATTTCGTGCAAATCGAAAGATATATAGGGACTTTGGGGCACCATTTACATGAAATCGGACGAAACTATATATGGGAGGTATAGCTAAATCTGAACCGATTTTCTCAAAACTTGGCAGACATCACTCTAGGCTCAATTCAGTACGTTGTGCCAAATTTCGTGCAAATCGAAAGATATATAGGGACTTTGGGGCACCATTTACATGAAATCGGACGAAACTATATATGGGAGGTATATCTAAATCTGAACCGATTTTCTCAAAACTTGGCAGACACCACTCTAGGCTCACTTCAGTACGTTATGCCAAATTTCGTGCAAATCGAAGTATATATAGGGATTTTGGTACACCATTTACATGAAATCGGACGAAACTATATATGGGAGCTATATCTAAATCTGGACCGATTTTCACGAAACTTGGCAGACATCATTCTAGACCTAAATGATTAGGCTGTACCAAATTTCGTGCAAATCGAAAGATATATAGGGACCGTTTACATTAAATCGGTTAAATATATATATGGGAGCTATATCTAAATCTGAACCGATTTTTCCCAATTTCAATAGGGTTCGTCCTTGGGCCAAATAAGTGACTTATGCCAAATTTCATCCAATTCGGATCATAAATGCGACCTGTACTTTGTTTACAATTTAACATGGACAGACAGACGGACGGACATGCATAAATCGACTCAGAAAGTGATTCTATGCATATTCTCAAAAGGAACCATGGGTCTATCTCGATTATTTTTGCCTGTTACAAACATATGCACAAAGACATAATACCCTGTACCACAGTGTGGTGAAGGGTATAATAAAGACTCAAGAGTATGGTTTTAGTTTGAAAACGCATACGTTTGGTATTTTTTATAAAACCATTAGTGAGAAGATTTTTTCCAACTGTCGGACATGGCAACGCATTCCATATAAGTTGAATTTGTACAGCCACAGTAGCATTATAGTCAATGGACTTTTATATAACACCACCACCACCAGTACTTTGTGGTGAATCATTGGAATCTACATTGATTTTATGCAGCTTTAAGGTAGGGACTTTTTTCAATAAATGGTGTTCCGAGTGCATACCACCATCGTCGAGTGAGTTTTCCATTTCCAAAGTATTTGAAATTGTCGCATCATCCCGCAAAGCTAGGGAACAACCACGTTTTTGCTGTGAACTTTCTGAACATTCGGAGGATTTTCTCTTCAAATATGTATATTCATTAATGGTGGGTGGTGGCGCTGGACAAATTTTGTCCGGGTACTCTGGATGACAACCGTAGTCAACACCTCTCAACCAATTATCGGCTGAAAACGTTTCACAAACGTTTCCATTGAGATTTTCACCATGTCCTTGCGGCAGTGACATATTGAAGCTCTTTTGCCATATTCAATCCAACGTTTCAATGCAAAATTTGTAGATTCGGTTCCATTGAAGCCATGATTAAAACCAGCGTGATAACGGAAGGAAAGGTTATCATTATTTCACCAGCTTCCTGGGTAATGCCATTGTAGGGTATTTTATTTTGCTTCAACACCTGCGGACTAGTTTTAATTGAATTTATTTTATAAATGTTTGTAAAATGTTGTGTTGTGTTTTGATAAAACAAACGAGTTCAATTCATTTCCGAGAAAGGAACGATGTGAACTAGAACCAGACTAGTTCAGTTTGTCAGCTGTTTGTCTAATTTTCTCAGCGCCTGATTCGTTTTCTATCAACGCCGATAATAAAATGACGCAATGCTACATAAATTTAACAATTTGGTGGCAACCCATTTGATCTTATACGTTGTGAATGTTTGAAGGACAATGGTTCAAAATTACCACAACGTATATAATGTTCCCAAATATGTCACAAGATATATCAAGGGCCCCACAAGCCTAGCAATTAAAAATGTTGAATCGAAATCGAGTTAGACCTGTATATTGAAGAAAGTACTATTATAAAATCCATTCAAATTCTAATTATTTTGCTGTCCCCGAAACTGTCTCTGGACATATATATATATATATATATATATATATATATATATATATATATATATATATATATATATATATATAGTATATATATATATATACTATATATATATATATATATATATATATATATATATATATATATTCTGGATCAGAGTAAAAGTCTAAGGCGATTTAGCGATGTCCGCCCGTCTGTCTGTCCGTCTGTCTACCTGTCTGTGGTAATTACGCTATCTTTCAAACGAATTGAGAAAGAATCCTAAAATTTTGCAGATGTGGCAATTTTCCCGGTAGTCAGGTTAAGTTCGTATAGCCCCCATATAACGATACCTCCCAATATTCGGTATTTTGATGAGTTTGACGACATCATTCACACGCATTTTTTTAAATTTCATATTCGAAGTTTGAAATGGGTACTACAGCCTATGCCTAAAAAATTTTATATGCAGGTCCACGTCTTCGTATACCCCCCATGTAACGGTATCTCCCGATATTCGGTATGTTGATGATTTTAGCAACATTATTCGCCGGAATTGTTTCAAATTTCGTATTCAAAGTTCGTAATGGCTACTACAGCATATGACAAAAAATTATTTATGCAGGTCCCCTATTATGGGTTTTTTTAAAACGGTATTTTTCGGAGTTTGTTTATATTTTTTAAGTTCCTTCCAAATATTGGAGGATATTAAAAGTTGAGCCCGTCCTCAATTAGCTGCTTTTTGAATTGTTTTTGGAACATATTTTGTCTTTGACGTCTTCCCTCTAAAATGATAATTTGTTTGGGATTTTTGCATAACCTCACTTAAAGTACGTTTTTAACCCTGAAATGTGTTTTAATACATATGAATTCCTGGATTTTGAGTTAGATTTAGATTTTTGAAGTCTTCTAGACCTTATGTAAAATTTTATGACAAATAATTTTGTAAAATATTTTTTAACCACAAAAAATGACTTTAAAGATCGACTTGTTTCAGGGTTAATATTCTCCCGCGTAATTGTGTGCCATATTGCCATAGATACTAAATAGATATGTATGTCATAATCCGAAAATTTCAAAGAATGGACTACTTTGCTTTGGAACCTTTCAAAACGCCAATACACGTGTCTTCTATTCTATGCTTTACTTTCATATTCTATTACATTTTTCCTGAAATAATTGTTTGTGGTGCGCAGTGTTAAAAACCACCATTTGAAACCGCAATGTGATAGAAAACCAACATTTGGAGCCCTCATGCCAAGAAGAAATATTATTTGACGCTCCTTTAAAAAGTTACTATTTGATGAGTTAATATCGGTAAGTAAAGTTTGTATAATTTCAGCTATTTTAACCATTAAGAACAGTTCCTAGAAGGATCATATACCAAAGAAAGTGGTTTATTGAGATCTTAGATATAGGTCGGTAATTGTTGTTCTGTAGCTATAACTTTGTCTCAGAGAGAGAGAAAGAGAGAGAGAGAGAGAGAGAATCAAAATTCTAAACTATTTGCAAAACCTGAGCCTCAGAAAATTATTCCTGTGGTTATCAAGGCCCCAATCTTTTTGGGCTCCATAACAGCAGTCCTTTTTTGGTCTTCTTCTTTGGTGGCAGAATATATTTCATAATGTTCGTGTTGCATAATATTATATTTTCTTTAAAAACATTCACGATTCTGAAACACTATGTATTGAAGTGTTCTAGAATTTTTTTATGAATTATGAAAACTTTCAAGTTCATTTGTTTTTTCTTTTTTAGTAATAAGGTCTTCAAGATAAATGCTATTCTAGTTCTTTGTCTTCTCCACTAAGAAAAAAAAAATACTGATCATGTTTTATTTCATTTCTTTTATTTTTTTATTTTTCTTTACCTTATCCTTATAACGAAATACTAAAACAATTCCAACTAAATTAAATCACCTGGCTTATAAAATTCATTCCACATCCTTATCTTTTCGAGCATTGGCAAATTGGCATAGTCTAGATTGGTGTTAATGATGAGACTCTCAATGGGTTTCATGTTGTTGCTGTTCTTTTCTGTGGCAACTGGTTTCCATACAACCGGTTCGATTTCACTGCAGTTGGGATCTGAGGTCAAGGCGAAATTATACCACATACCAATCATGAGTTTAATGCATTTATATTCTTCGCTATTTCGGTTGAGTTTTTCGGACAAGGCAGTGTAGAAAAGATAGATCACATCATCGGCATGACACACCCCTCGAATCGAATCACCACAACTGAGACGACGAAAATGATTGAAAATTTTCGAATCAAAATCAAAGTAGTAGCAATAGAGGGGACTCTCTGGAGCATATTTCGAGCGTGCCTGGATCGTCCTCAAAATGGGATGCCAGAAGGCTCTGTGGCCCATGAGTTCCTTGTATTTTGAGAAATGTTCTTGGAAATTTGGTTGCTTGCCATCAAAATACATTGTTTTCAGTTGTTGACCCATTAACTTGAGTTTCTCCGGATCCTGGGAATGTTTTACATCATGTGGCAAGAGGTTGACCAAATCACTTAACTCATTTATTAGAAATTTACTATGCTTGGTAGTATTGTGAAAAAGTAGACCCTCTGAAGAATTTCCACCCAAAATGAGGGGAATATTATTACCCCAAGCTGTGGCAAGTAGCTGCTTAAAGGGTTTGTCGATCACACATTGATCCGTGACGTAGGGTTCAACAACCGGAACGAAATGGAAAAGCATTTGGCTCATATGTTCTTCTTTGCTGAACAGTTTTATGTCGCGAAGGGTTAAACTCTTTGAAGATTGTGATTTGAGATATCTATAGACCTCTTTGTCGCTATTCTTGCCTTGATAACCCAGATGGCAGGCTATTTTATAGCCCCATTTGTGGTTATCCGTAAATGACCAGGGGCACAGGAACGAACCGGACTGCATTATGGCTTTGTGAAAAAGACCCTTGACTTGAGGGGTGGACATCATTATATGCGTTGAGGCGGCACCGGCACTTTCTCCATAAAGAGTGATATTGTTTGGATCTCCATTAAAGTTGTGGATATTATCCTTGACCCATTTTATGGCCATCACTTGATCTTTCAGGCCAGCATTACCGGGTACATTTAAATCAGGATCATCTAGGCATAAAAATCCAAATAAGCCCACTCGGTAGTTGAAAGTCACCAAAACAACATCCTTTTGCATGAAATATTCTGGGCCATATAAATCCCAATTAGCTTCGCCAATATTGAAACCACCACCATAAATCCAGATCATGACAGGCAGGGGTTTGGAGGTCTTCAACTGGGTGATAAATCATGAATCTATTAATAAATTTTGATAAAATTTAGGAATTGGGAGGAGTTACCTTTTTGACATACACATTCAAATAGAGGCAGTCCTCGGAGCCCATTATTATCTTTGCCAAATAATCAAATTGCATGGGCTTCGATTTGGTTCGTAGACAATCCAATACATTTTTCCATGGCTCCGCTGGTTGTGGTGCCCGAAATCTTAACTCACCCAAGGGAGGTTTGGCATAAGGTATCCCTTCGAATGCATAGTACGTTCCATGTTCGTTGTAGACATTGTTACGTTTACGACCTCTTACCAGACCCTTTGAGGTTTGTGTTGTGTAGAAATCATTTGTGGCCTTACTGTAGTACTGATATTTGTGAACGATCAATCTGTAGTGGAGGGGAGAGAGAGAGAGAGATGAGTAGAATCAGTAGGAAAACATTAACAATTTCTTATATCATAATTTGTACTAACTTTATGATTATTTTAAGCAAATTCAAAGGTCTAAGGTAAACATCCATTTTGTGTAATTCAGTCGTACTCTTGCTGGGATATAACAGTAGCAGAAATATTTGAACTGTAATTAAATAATTAAATTATGGTCGATTTTTATTATAATCATCATGAAATATGCTGGAAAAAATAAAAACAGTAAAAATAAGTCTGATAATAATATCTCCTTTATTTCCTATATATGAGATATTAATTAATACTGATAAAAATTTTGGGATGCTCAAAATTATAAGAAAATCGAACATTTATTTCTAATTTCTGTGAATAATTTCTAATCACCATATTAGCTTTTAATGGGGAAGGCACCAGAAGGATTGAACCGATAAATGTCATATTCACATCTGACCTCTGGTTGAGTAAAATATTTGCAAAGTTTGAGTTTTGATAGAATCGGATGAATATTTCGAATTTTGGTTCTCAAAAATCTTAACCCCTTTGTGGGAAGGTACAAGAAAGAGTATTCCGATATATCCCAAATGCGGGCTAGATCTTGTGTTAATACCAGGAGGAGTAAACCGATATATTGTATTTTTACACCAGGTTTGGTGTCAGAAGAAATGTTGGGATGTGTGAAATTTCATATTTTATGACGTTAAAATTATCCAAAATTGTGGCCCATTGTCAGGGAGGGTGGACCGGCATTGCCCAACTACGAACTCAATCCAAGTACAATGTACCAAGGTCTATCCACAAACAGGATTTTTCAAAAAGATTTTTTTTTCAAAAATGTGGAAGTTTTATAGAATATGTTTTCAAGGTCTATCTTTAACAAGAACTTTCCTATTTCAGGACCTGTCTATTTCTTAGATTTTTAAGGCATGATGTATCAAGGACGGCCAAAAATATGGATTTTTAAAAGAATATTTTAAAATTTTAGCCATTATGGTTTAGCCATATGTTCCCAAGGTCTATATATAACATTACCCAACTTATAGTCATTGAAACCTATTTTTATCATTTTTGTCATTCGGTTGTAACACCTCCGTCCGTCTGTGGAAATCACTCTAGCTTCCGAAGGAAATGAAATAGGTTGTTAAAATTGTACTCAAATATACATTATGTCTACAGGACTTTTGGTATTGAATGAATGAGCCATGTAGGTCCAAGTTTTGAATGGGCCATGTAGGTCCACGTTTTGGTATAGCCCCCATATAATGTTATCTCCCCATTTTCGGTATATTAGTGATTTAAGCGACATTATTAACCGGAATTGTTTCAAATTTGGTATTTGAAGTTCGCAATGGATGCTACTAACTATGACAGAAAATTGTTTATGCAGGTCCACGGTTTGGTATAGCCCACATATATTTGTAGCTTCCTATATTAGGTATTTTGATGATTTTATTCACTGATTTTTGTAAGTTTCGCATTTGAATATTGTAATGGCTTATGACAAAAGTTGCCTATAAAGGTTCACGTCGTCGTATAGACCCTAATATAATGGCTACATTTGGAATTTAACAGAATTTTGAATGAATTTTAATTTTTTTAAAAATTTAAAGACACATCTATTTTTGTATGTTTGAAAGTTTGCATCGAAAAGTAAAGATACACCCTGATATAAATTATTGTGAGGGTTTTGGCCATATTTTCCAATCGAAAATATCGCTGGCATCAGTGAGTCTATATAAACTTTGTATATACGGAATTGAAAAGGATTTATTTATCGCTTTTCGGAGTCCGAGCTTAACAAAGTTACGTTATCTTGAAGTCACTGTTAAGACGCAAAATTATTTGTATTTTGCCAGTTTGCCCATAAGAGCCGCACTTTGAATAAGAAGTAAAACCTCCATCGTTTCCAAGTTTTTCACATTGTTTTTAAATGATTTACTTTGTCACAAATAAAAATGAATATGACCACATATTTAAGGAGATAATAAAGTAGACAGAATTGTCAGTAAGTTATAAAGCAGAGTGTTAAGCATAACCAGAAAACACTAAACTTGTTGACCGTCTTTGAACTATTCGTTTTCCAAATGTATTTAAATTTTAAAAAACCAGCTGTTATTAACTGTTGTAGTCCTTAATATATTTGTATTATTTAATTCATTTATTATTAACACTTATTCCGATCGGTTTATACCTTTTGCTAAGAAAGCTCTGATTAAACTATTTGAAATATTTTTTTTTGTTTTAGTTTCTTGACTTGACTGGACTTAACATCTGTAATTAATATGCATTAATTAAAATTGTGTGTTAAACTTCCTAATTATTGGACTTAACAGAAGTTACGTGATGCTGTAAAATGCAATTGTAAATTGTGTGTGTGTGAGTGTGTGTATGTGAGTGTTTGAATTAAAACTAATTATATGAACACGAGCTATACTGTTTTTCATTTTATCAAGAAGTTACACAGAGAAAAATAACTCGAGATAATTAAACTTATTAAAAATATTAATTTTACAGTCGACATTCATTGCGGAGGACGGTGTTTTGATATTCAGTATTTTGATGATTTTAGATACATTTTCCAAAAGAATTATTTCGATCTTGGTATTTGGAGCAGTATTTGGTAATAGGCACCTCCGTCTCTGGCAGATAATTGAATGTAAAGGTTCACGTTTTCGTATAGCCCCATATGACTCCAACATCTGATACTCATAATTGTTAAAATTATAAAAGCATATTTCAATGGATTTTTTACATTATGCACGTTCCTTCCAAATGGGGGTATAAAAAGTTCGGTCCGGGCGAACTTAGCTGCCTTTTTACTTGTTTTATTTAACGTTTTACGACCACAAATTTTGGCCTGGTGATTCTTTCAATAAAAAATGTATATGATCGGAAGTGGTACCTTATGGAATAGTCACATCAATTGGGTAAAATCAGTTTTAGCCTAAAAACTTTAATTATAGCCTTAGCCATATGGCTGGAGAGGCCAAAGACGTGCCTTATCGACATAAGGGTTTAGATCCTAAGTCTATTTGGACCAAATCCGTTTCAGGGCATTTTTAGCGATGTCCGTCCGTCTGTCTGGCTGGCAGGTGCGCACGATGCACCTCCCCAATAAAAGGTCGAAATTTTCAAAAAACAATATACCAATGCACATAAAGACAAGAGATAATTCAATTTTGCTCCAACTTTGCAAATCCTTATATTTGAATCAGTGCTAGGTCAGTTGCGAAAATGGACAATGTCGGTCCACTCTATCAAGTACTTCCCCTCTCCCCCCCTCCAAAGTTTGAACATTTTGAATAATTTAACTCTTATAAAATGTTCAAATTACACACATCGCAATATTTTTATTAACCCAAGGTCTGATATGAAGATGAAATATATCGACACACTCCTTCTGTTACCTCCCTCACAGAGGGTCTAAATGTAGAATAATCAAAACGATTATAAAATCGGAAATAAGCATCTGGGTCTCTTCATATAGCACAAATCCCAATATTTCTACTAACACAAGATCTGCCGTGAAAATATCGATCCATTCCTTACCTGTCCCCCACAAAGGGTTAAAATTTTGAATAGCCATTAAATTCAAAAAATTCGAACCCCTTCTGGTACCTCACCCACAAAGGGTGAAAATTTTCAATAATTTTGTCTTCATATCTTGCGAAACAATTCGGCGATTCTTTACCACTTTTTTATATCTAACTATTTCTCTCGCCATAAAGGTTCAACAAATAATAATAATAATAATAATAATAACAGAAGTCAAAATATATTTAAATTATCGAACATTGTCTGAGGATATACATCTGTCTACTGATACTTTTTAACCTGTTTTTTATAATTTTCAATAATTTTACAGAGTTTCAGTCATTTCTACGGCAATATTTCTCAGTGTGGAACAATTTTCTGTATTCTATTCTTAATCGATATATTTTTCTGTAATGTAAAACGCACTGTTTAAAATCAAATCTTTCTAAGTGTAATTAACAACAGCTTATTACATCGTTCGAATTGAGTCGTACCCTTTTGTTCAGAATAAAGTGGATACGACTTCAATAATTCTGTAATTTTGTTAGCACGAGTTGCATTGCCAGTTTTAATGATTGATTTTATAACAAATTGTTTTTATTTGTTTTCTTGTGCAACCTTTTTTGAGTGTGTGGTTTGGTTAATGATTTGATTTGATTTTAGTATTATAAATATTGTTTTCATCTGTTTGAATAAAATTATTTTTTTTTTTATATAGAGGTAAACCTTCTGATGATTCATAACATAAATATATTTAATGGACTGCTCATTCAATGCGAGTGCCTCAGCTTTTCAACTATATTTCAAAATGTGTAATTACACTGAATATGTACATATACATAGCTTATAACATTGATAATAGTAAACATGCCAATGACAAAGTCCACTGCAGTGAAATTATCAATAGTAAGAAACAATTAATGATTTGAAATTAATTTTATAAATTCAAAAAAAAAAAAAAATAAATAAAATAAAATAAAAATAATAATCAAATACATGAATAAGTGTGAAGAATTAAGTAGAGCTCACTGTAGATAACAATAATTCATTTGTTATTTTGAACATATATTTTAAGAGACTTTAAACGCTACAAGGATTTAGAAGGGTAATGGCAAACTTAATTCTATTTGCTTGAGATAGAAAGGAGATATTTTACTTTCCCTTAATCACTTCTGAAACCAACGATTCCCCAACAAAATATATCAAAACGGGAGAATTATGTCGAAGCACCGGTACTCATGCTTTCTTCTACAATCGACTGTTTTGAAATGAGTGTGTCAGAATATGAATTAATGCTGAAATTTTAATTCCCACAAAAAAAAAAAAAAAAAAAAAAACTACTTTTATATCAAATAAATTAGAATGCATTCCGGATTAGTTTAAAACAAGTGTATTACCATTGGGAAGTGTGTTTATAAGGCAATACCACCGCTAACTGTTGAAGATGCTAATATTTTCAAAACTGGTTGAATTTGCAAATCTGACGTAAAACACATCTTCAAGCCGACTACTAGTAGGAACAAAAAACAATAATATTCAGAAATGTTCAACACGTGCAAAATCAAAGTATGAGCAATATTTTTTTGTATTAACAGAATAAGAAATCTGGAAAATAAGTAAAAGTGATCGAAAGGTATAGCAAAGACTTTACAATGGAAGTTATATTCATTGTTTTCCTATAGCAATCGATCAAATAGTAGTCGACAATCGACATAATAGTAGGCTATCTGTTGATTTTCCAACCGAATTGTGATAGAGAAGCCAATTTTTGCTGATGGGTCATGTTCGAAATGCATCATAAGTTGTAGCTCCCGCAATTTCGAATTTTAATGTTTAAAGCATAATTTTTAAATAGAAGCATTTGAAATAGGGTAATTACCATTCTGAAAGAAAATTGTCATAAAGTTAAGGCAGACTTTCGACACATTTTGAACGGAGTTTTCTGAAATTCATGATTTAAAGCACATAATGGGCATTTAAACCTCTGAAGGAGAAATATTAACAAATGGTTTTGGTTTAAGTTTAAGTTTACATTGGGTTGGAACCAATTTTGGAATAAAATTTCAGCATAAATGCTAGTTTCAATATTAATACTTTTAATTCTCATTAGGGAGAAAATCCTATTCCAAAAACCAATAATTCTAACCTTTCTCACATAAAGTTATAAAGTGTTGAAGATCCAAATATTGTGAATTGTATTATTTTGTATGTATAAAATATAAAAGGCCAAAAGCCTTTGAAAATTACAATTTATATATGCTCCAACATTGTATGGCAATCACTTTGTTGTTTAAAAATAGCCAGGCTTAATCCCATTGTTGTTGTTTTTATAGAAACAAGTGGAGAACGATGGTAATGTTTACCAGGGGACAGGGCAGGGAAAGAGCCACCAATCCTCATCAGTTCCCTTGTTTTTTGTCTGGGATATTTTAGGGATATTTAAGCGACATTATTTACCGGAATTATTTCAAATTTCGTATTTTAAGTTGGTACTACAACCTATGACAAAATGTTTTGTATTAGGGTCCACGTCTTCGTATAGCCCCCCATATAACGATATTCGATGTTTTAATGATTTTAGCGACATTATTCACGTCTTCATCTACGTCTTCGTACAGTCCCCATATAACGGTTTCCATTTAGAAGGTAGTTTTCGGATTTTTTCAATTTCCTTCCAAATGATGGAGGACATAACAAGTTCGGCCCAGTCGAACTTAGCTGCTTTTTATACCCTACACCACAAGGTGTCTTTGTGCATTTGTTTGTAACAGGCAAAAGGAAACGAGATAGATCCATAGTTCCTTTTGATGATCTGCAAAGAATCACATTCTCGATTTATGCATGTCCGCCCGTCCGTCTATCCATGTATTTTTGTAAACAAAGTTCAGTTCGCATTTATTGCCCTATCCAGATGAAATTTTGCACATATCATTTGTTTGGCCCAAGGACGAACCCTATTGAAATTGGAGATAATCGGTCAAAATTTAGATATAGCTCCCATATACATTTTCGTCCGATTTGCCTTTTATTGTGCTCTAAACGTGTAATATCAGGCCGAATGGTATGGAATTTTGTACATAAAACCAGATTAGGCCTGAAAATAAGTAGGCCAAATTCTATCGAAATCGGTTCAGATATATATTGTTCATCCGATTTGTTATTTTTGTCCTCCGCAGCCGTAATATGCATTCTGTAACAACAATATTTGGGGAAATATATCAAATGCAGATCAGAAATATCTTTGCCAAATTTTATCGAGATCGGTTCCGATTTGGATAAAGCTTCCATATATAACTTCGTCCGATTTACCTTTTATTGTGCACCAAACGACTAATATTGTCCAAATTGGATGGAATTTGACACATACGACCGAATTGAGTCTAGAAGGCAGTATGCCAAATTTGGTGAAGATCGGTTCAGACATAGCTATAGCTCCCATATATATTGTTCATCCGATTTGTTATATTTGTTACCCACAGCCGTAATATGCACTCCCTAACAACGATATTTAGAGATATATATTAAATACAGCTCAGAAATATCTTTGCCAAATTTTATCGAGATCGGTTCCGATTTGGATAAAGCTTCCATATATATCTTTATCCGATTTCAAATTAATTGTACACCAAATGGGCAATACAAGTCCGAATTTAAAAGATTCAAATGCTTCGGCATATTTAGTCCCTTCTCAAATAAAAAAACTTTTAATTTTTATATGGAGCTTTACTAAATTAGCAAAGTGGTGAAGGGTATCATAAAGTCGGCCCCGCCCGACTTTAAGACTTTCTTTACTGGTTAATAATTGTTAAATAACTAACACACTTATCAAAAAAATTAACATTTTCTGACGAAGAAGAGTATTTTTTAGGTAAAATTGAAAAAAATATTCTTTAAACGATCAGCTGAGAAAAATAACAGATTTTGAACTTAGCTCTCCCTTGCTTATTTCATAGAAATGTTTACTGTTGAAACTACATTAACACTTAATTAAATTAAATTAAAGATTCGCTGGTATAAAAATCAGACCAGCATTGCATTTGTCTCTGAATCGGCAGAGTATTCATTTCAACTGTATCTGCAATAACCAGACACTTTACATCATTCGCATCCGCGCTCACACTATCCCAAGTGATGGCACTAGTTTTGTAACAATTTGGAGTGGAAAGTAACGCAAAATTACACCACATGCCAATCATTTGCGATCTGCAATCCAATTCAGTCTGGGAAGATAAAAGAGTTTTTGATATGGCATTTCTAAAGAGATAGCAGACCTCATCACCATGGCCAGCACCTGTGGCATTGGGATCGGAACATAGGAACACTCGAGACAAATTTCCTTTACTCGTCACAAAATTAAAAAAGTAGCAATATGTGGCGGCATTCTTGGCATATGCTGAGCGAGCTTTAATGGCCCGATACATGGGATGCCAGAAATATTTGTGACCCATTGCATCCAGGTAGGACAGAAAATTCTCCCTTATATGGGGATCCATGCCATTGAAATATTCCTGTTTTAGTTTGTCCAACATTTTGTGGGTTTCTGTTCCCGTTAACTCGAGTTTTATTTCAACGGGTAATAAATGTTGTAAGTTTTCGGGGTTTCTATACAACTCCTCATACTCCTTAAGATAGTGGTAGTAAAACAAACCCTCAGCTGAGTTACCTCCAATAATGACGGGTATTGTATTACCCCAGGCAGTGGAGAGTAATTCCTTAGGCGATTTGCTGATTATACAATCTTTGGTCTCATATGGCTCCGCAACGGGTACAAATGAGCAGAATGCATTAGTTTCCAATATATCTGTATCTGTTAATAGATCTCTGGGTTTGATGGTCAAATGTCGAGATTTACATGCCATTAAGTATTTGTAAACAGCCTCATCATCATTGCCTCCCTTGTAGCCCAAGTGACAGGCCAATTTATAGCCCCAATCATGTTTGTTGGTAAAACCCCATGGACATAATGCAGAACCCGATTGTAGAATGGCCTTGTGAAACAAGCCCTTGGCATGAGGAGACAGCATTAACATGTGCGTCGAAACAGCTCCAGCACTTTCTCCAAAAAGAGTAATATTTTCCGGATCTCCATTGAAATTGTGTATGTTTTCTTTGATCCATTTTAATGCTAAAAGTTGGTCCTTTATGCCAGCATTACCGGGTATATTGAGATTGGGATCGTCGAGACAGAGGAATCCTATAATAAAATATATTTAAATTTCTTTTGGTGACTTTCAGAGATATGAAAAGTCTTACCGAATACTCCAAGTCTGTAGTTAAAAGTCACCACAATGACATCCTGAGTCATAAAGAAATTTGGATCATACAGATCTGTTGTGGCCTCGCCAAATTGAAATCCCCCGCCATAGATATACACCATTACTGGTAAGGGTTGTTTAACGTTCTCATTCTGTAAAATGGGGAAACAATAAAAGAAAAATAAATTAACAAGTTAGAAATTATCAAATGATATATTTCTCAAGATATAAACAAGTAAGTTGACAGTTAGCTGAACACGACAAACAGATGGACAAAATATGGCTACATCAGCTCCAAATAACCTTAAGAAATTTATTTCAATGACATGGGATCTAAAATCGATGTTTCAATGAGACACATTTTGGGCAGACTTTTTTATTCTCTGTGGAGCCTCATAAGTGTAACACTGGTTCTATTCCCTGACCGTGTCTAAACCTCTTACACAATTTGAGTGACCGGCCCGTTTTGTATGGAACAAAAAGTTGTAGAATTTTCGATCATGAATTCTGAGCGGGGACCCTTCTGATGACGCGGGTGCCAAGAGCTCCTAGATCCATTAATATAGCATGACTGTGGAGTGGCCACTGTTTGGATGCAATGCGTTGTTATGGTTCATACGTATTCCCAGAGGTGTAAGGTAGACTAAACCTCTAAGATCTGGAATACCGTGGAAGGCTACCAATCTATAAGATAACTATCGGTAATTTTAAAGGAGCACTGACCAACGCATCGAACCGTGGTTGGGGCCTTCAAGACGAGAATCATGTAAAATCCCTTGGACTTCATTTTCTCTGATGCCATATGGCTGGTGGTGAAATAACGGATTGTCAATAAAAACTCAATTCGAGTACATTCGAATGTTGTTGAGAAATTTATATACTCTCAAACTTATGGCTTTGGAGATTATATCGTTTTATAGGTCAATAGGTGCCTTATCGAAATACCGGTTTTAGACTTAGTGCCTTTTTAGACAAAATCCGTTTATATACATTTGACGATTTAGCAGTCCTCCGAAAAATTCGCTCGGATTTGTACAAAGACTGAAACCCACTCGAATTCGAGCGAACTCAATTTTTCGATGTTGCTCGAATATGAGTGAGAATATTTTCCTCTTTGTTGAGTATGAGTAAAATTCGTTCAAAATCGAGCGAATTTTACTCTTGCCCAGCACTCTGTTAGTTTTTATACCCTCCACAATACATAGTAATGAGGGTATATTAAGTTCGTCATCTAAGACGACTTAGCACTGTCCGACCGTCCATTGAAATCACGCTAGAGTAAAAACGAATTAATATAGGAAGCTAAAATTATGAGCAGATCACTCTCTTTCCTGCAAGCAGGTCAAGATCGAAGATGGGCTATGCAAGCCCACAATATCGTATAGCCCCCATATAACGGTACCGTCCGACGTTCGGTATTTTGGCGATTTTAGCCACATTTTTAATTTGAATTATCTGCAATTCTACACAAGGAGTTCTTTAAGAGCATTTCTCCCTCTGAAATAGAATTGTTTATATAGATTCAAATTAGCGCATACCCCTTTACAATGGTTTCCACCATTATTCGGTATTTTGATGACTTTAGTAACAGTATTTATTGGAATTGTTTCAAATTTCGTATTTGAAGATCTTAATAGGTGCTACAGCCTGTGCCAAAAAATTACATATACAGGTCCACGCTACGTATGTATGGCCCCATATAACTGTACCTCCAGATATTTGTTATTTTGACGATTTTAGCGACGTTATTCACCGGAATTGTTACAAGTTTCGTATTTGAATATCGTAATGGCGTATGAGGAAAATTGCATTTACAAGTCCCCGTATTTGTATGAGCCCAATATAACGGTATTCGATATTTTTATAATTTTAGCAGCATTTTTTTATTTATTTATTTATTTTTTTTATTTTTTTTTTTTTTTTTTTGAAAATTTATAGTGTATTCAAGGTTTTGGTCGGGCCTTCCTGATTTTTTATTTGTTGTTATATCGTTGTTGTATTTCTATATATGTTTACTCTTCTGGGCAAGGTCACACCCTCCTCTCACCATCTTCCCCTCTCTTCACTCGCCCTATCACCCCCGTCTTCCCTTTCATCTACCCTCTTCACCCTTTGCCACCATCTTCCCATTATTTCCACCATCATTAGATCCATTTCCAAGATGGCATATGTAGATGCACTCCTTCTGCTACATCTCAAGCTATCGAATATTTTAAAGAAATTCAATGTGACTTTAGCCCAAAATAGTCAAAATCAGTCCAGAGTCATCCCTACGAAATACAAAAATGTTTAATAATCATAGCGTTTATAATGATTCTCCTACTTCCTTGAGCTTAAAAGGGGGTTCATAAAAATTTCTTTTTTCTCGTAGGGTTTTTATTTCATAACCACCAACTTACCTCTTTAACATAAACATTGAGGTATAAACAATCCTCCGATCCCTCAACGAATCCAAACAATGCATTCACTTGGCAAGGTTTTGATTTTGTTCTCGTACAGTTAAGTATATCCTGCCATGGCTCAGGAGGTTGCGGTGCACGAAATCTCAGCTCATTAATGGGTGGTTTGGCAAATGGTATACCTTCGTAGGCAAAAAAGCTCTGATTTGAATCACAAGAATTTATCCGTTTAACTCCCTTAATTTGACCATAAGAAGTGTTGATAATTCTATATTCATTTGTGGTATGGCGTAACTGATTGTATTTGTAATTTATGTAACTAAAAAAAAACACGAAATTAATTCAATAGAATATTCATCATTTGTGACAGTTTAAACTAAATACCTAAATGCGTTTTGAATGTGTTGAAAGAAACTAGCTTTAAATTCCATTTTGAATATGTTTTCTATTTTTCTTTTGGATTAATTGAAATGCTCGCGATTTAAACAGCCGCGTTGCACGATTAACACTTTCGAACTGATTAGAACGTGTGGCCGACTAATTCTCCAGACTGCATGCATTTTATGCTAGGCTGTTTCGGCAAACAGGTATTCGAATTAATTATTTCAATATAATTGTTTATTTTTAATGTCATTTACCTTATAACATTTTGTTGTTGTTGTTGTTGGAACGCTAGAATTTTGTTTTGGTAATAAAATTTATATTCGTCAAACATTGAACAATGTGCTAGGTCTGGTTGGTTGGTTTGCGAGTAATTAAATATTAAAGTCAGGCGTTCATTTCGACTTGCATCGTCGGTGTGAATGTCCAGCAGTCTCGACGACTCAATGTGTTCATCGAGTGTCACTCAATTGCGGACTGACAATATGACTCAAATGTAAGTACAATGTGGTTGCCAGTGGCGTTGCCGTGCTGGGTCATTTTATGGACATTTATTGCTTTACACTTTAGGCCTATGTCAGAACTTTTGTGTAATTGATGTAGTTATAGGCATTTATTATTTATATTTTATTGTCGTAAATGTGCAGTTGTAAGAAAAACAATACAATTTCGGAAGATCTGGTATAATGAGCCAGACTCGTAGCGGCATTATTCGGTCCATGGGTTCTTGGTACTCAGACAAATAAAATGCCATAACAAGGACTAGCGATTCAAAAATCTTGGAAGGGGAAAAATTAGGAAACTTTGAGAAGCTACTTATTTGTGCCTTGACCTATTGCGACAGAAAATCAAAAATCCAGCAAATTCTATTATGACCTCGATAAGACTACGTCAATATGAACATATTTTGTGAAATTATTTAACTCATAGTCGAGTCCCTAAAGAGATCCGTTAGATCCTCCTGCAATTTGCGTTTCTTAAAATCACTGATTTTGAAAATATTTTGTTTTTATTGGTCTAAACAAATAAATACATACACAAACGTCGGATACACTTAGAAAAAAATTGTAATCACCTGCTTCTTATTGTACCATGCATAAACCTACCCCTTTAATGATTTTGAAGATAGAAACAAATCTCTAACATAGAAGATGGATTTCACCACGAAGACTACTTCGACCCAATCTGCGAATTTTTTTTATTTCAGATACTAGCTTTTCACGAAACGGCTTAATTGAGGAACCCAAAACAAATTTATGTTAAGTACATTGTAAAATAAAGAAAGTTAAGTCAATTTATATAGGCATATCCATGGTACAATGATATCAAGGTAGGGCTATGATACCATATGATTTCAATTTTTTTATTTTCTTGGCTTAATATGTCATCTTTATTTGTTTATGTATGTGTTTTCTTTTCAGTAACAAAAAAATTGTTCAGAAAACATTCAAATTCGGATGTTTTCAAAATGTTTATTTCATCGTATGCATCGACAAAATCTGGAGTTTTTGTAGTGAAATAATCCTTTAGAGATATATAGAACCTGGTTTTGAAAAGAAGTGTTGACCTTTCATTCAGTTTTCGCGGTTTTCAATTATTTATTCAAAATAAATGCAACAAGTTGTTTGATTTTTTATTGTTTTGATACTATTTCTGACATTACAAGCCAAACAGGTAGACCTCTATACTTGCAATTTTTTCAAAGTTGACCTACCTTCTCTTCATTGTACCATGGGCATATCCATCTCTGAATTTCCCGTAATTTTCCTTGTCAAATTTAAGAGAATAAAAAACAGGTTCCCATCTCTGATTTGTGTGTATATATTGGAACATGGTACAATAAAAAGGTAAGGTAGAGCTACCAGCTGATTACAATTTTTTTCTAAGTGAGCCCGACTTCTGTCAATTTTGTGTATGTATTTATTGTTTTGAAAAATAAAAACAAAATATTTTCAAAATCAATTATAGGAAGAAACATAAATAGCGGCACGTGCATTAATGATATTAACCAAATTTACCAAATTTAGGATCATATTTTTAAGAGAACATCCAGGCATTTCATTCATTTTTCGCGCTATTTGATACATTTGAAAAGTAACCACAAAATATCAAATAAATGAAAACAACTTGTTGGATATAATTATGAATAATTCTGACAGGAAGCGGGCATTGTATTTCTGTAGTTTTACGAAGCTATTCTACCTCCTTATTGTACCATGATATTGGAATTATAATATACATTTTGACAGAGATATTGTCAAATGAATAATTAAACAAGTAAAGATACATTAACTTTGGCCTGACCCTCCACCTTTGGGTAAAGGAAACATTTTTATATAAAAGTATCTGAATTCAAAACGGGAACCTCAATAGACAATTTTATACTTTTAAGGATTGTCATCTACCAAATCTTCTTAAATAACAAATTTGAAATAATTTCGTGTGAAAAATGTGACCAGGATTATGAAAATACGGAATATCGTTGGGTATCATTATATGTACGACATAGAAAACCGTGGAACTAAATATTCAACGTTCTACTACTGGACCTAGAACCCATTATGAACAAGTAGCAAATTTTAGACAAATCCATCAAAATCCCGAATATCCGTAGGCACCATTATGGGGGGCTATACGAAAACGTAGACCTATATATACAATTTTCCACCACCGGAGCTAGAACCCATTGCGAACTACAAATACAATTTTTTGGACAAATTCGTGGCAAAATGTGGCGAAAATAATCAAAAAACCGAATATCGGAAGTACCGTTATATAAGGGCTATACAAAAAACGTAGGCCTATATATAAAATACTCCGCTACCGGAGCCAAAATCCACTATGACCTACCAACACCATTTTTTAGATGAATCCGTGAAAATGTGGCAAAAATCATCAAAATACCGAATATCAGGAGTTACCGCTATAGGGCGGCTATATGTGGACCGATATTTCTTATTTTCAATATCAGCCATTCTAGACACAATATAAATTATTCTGCCAACTTTTGAGCTCTAGGTCAAATAATGTGGGCTGTATCGTGATTTCAACACACAGAGGGACAGACAGTCATCGTTAAATCGACTTAGCATTTTATGCTGATTATAAATATATTTTTATGGGGCTACGACGAATATTTAGGGATGCTTCAAGGTGGAGGGTATAAAAAACTAGTAAAAAAGCTGTAAGTTCGGCTTCGAACTTTGAATACTCTCCACCATTTGGAACGAATTTGGCAATTTTCAAAAAAATAAAATTCGTTAAAAATTCTAAATGACGACGTGGACCTGCATAGGCAACATTTTTCATAAGCCATTACAATACACAAATGCGAAGTTTGAAAAAAAAATCGGTGAATAATGTAGCTAATATTATCAATATAGGGACGTACTATTATATGGGGGTTATATGAAGACGTGGACCTGCACAGACAATTACGAACTTCCAACACAAAATTTGAAACAATTTCGATGAATAATGTCGCAAAAATCATCAAAATACCGAATATCGGGAGGTACCGTTTATCAGGGCTATACGAATACGTGAACCTACACGGATAGTTTTCTGCCATAGACCGTAGTATCCGTTACGAACTTTAAATACCAAATTTATATTGTCCCTAAAATCGCCAAAAATCGAATATCGGGAGGTACCATTATATGGGGGCTATACCAAAACGTCGACCTTCATGACCCATTTTTAATACCAAAATCCTGCAGACATATTTGAGTAAAATTTTATCAACCTACCTCATTTCGTTCGGAAGCTAGAGTGATTTCCATAGACGGATAGACGGACGGACATCGCTAAAACGACATAGAATTTTATGCTGATCAAGAATATATATGTACATTGTGGGGTCTGAAATGTACACTTCGGAATGACCAACTTATTATACCCTCCATACTTTTGTGGAGGGTATAAAAAGGGAAAATATGAACCAACTTGTAATCGCCCTTAACGAAAAAAAGACAACATTTTAATTCACTAAATTTCGTAGATTCTGGTAAGACAGCCAATTGTGAAAATATTGTGATGTGATCCCATTTTTCTTTTATTTTATTATATTTTTTAGTTTGGCTCATCACTAGTTCTCCATGGCATCGATATGAAACGTGTTATTATTAAATTTTTATTCCACAAAATAATTTACTTTTTAACATTTATTTCTTTTCGAAAATATTTGAAAATTTAACAAATTTGCTTAAAACCAAACATTTTTATATAAAAATATAAATTAAAAAAATATACAAAATATCACTCTATAATTTTTGGCAAGTTTCACGTAAAGCTTAAAATTGTAACTCTTAACACAATGGCTCTTTGGTATAAAAACTATCCCAAACAGTTAATAACTTATGCATTGGTACATCAATAAATTCCACATCATCATTTATGTTCAGCAATTTAAAAGGCTGCTTTGGATCGTTGTCCACACTCACGGGTTCCCATGTGGTGGGTGAGATCTCTCTGCAGTTCGGATTCGATGTGAGAGCAAAATTGTACCACATACCAATCATACGTTGTATGCATTTATATTCTCTTGTTGCTGTTGATAACTTCTCGGCATTGATGTTGTAGAACATATAGGATATCTCATCGGCATGACAGACACCCTTGACGGGACGACCACACTTTAAATTACGATAATGATTGAAGAATTTCGAATCAAAATCAAATTGATAATAATAGGTGGGTGTTGGTGCAGCATAGGTTGTACGGGCTTTGATCGCCCGATGTATGCCATGCCAAAATGTTCGCTGGGTCATTAGGTGCAGGAATTCATACAATGTCTCCTTGGCATGGGGTTTCTTGTCCCCGAAATAGAGTTCTTTCAAACGTTGGCCCATTGCCTTGAGATCCTCCTGGCTGTGGGATTTTTTCAAATCATCGGGGAGTAGATTTACACAGTCCGTTAAATCATTGACTTTGTAGGGATACTTCACAACTTCGCTGTAGTGAAACAGCCCCTCAAAAGAGTTGCCACCAATCATCATGGGTATGTCATTGGACCAGGCCGAAGAAAGGTATTCTTTGATGGGTTTATTTATAACACAATCTTCCGAATCGTAGGGTTCAATGACTGGGCCAAAGGCAAAGAGCAGATGATTGAATTGTTCTTCTTTGGTTAGCAGTGATGTGTCTTTTGCCACCAAACGACTGGGGCTTTGTTTGGCCAAGTAACGATAGACCTCTTTGTCGTTGTTGTTGCCCTTGTAACCAATTTGACAGGCCAGCCGATAGGCCCAATTTGTGGGATTGCTAATTACCCATGGACACAGAGCCGTTCCTGATTGTGCAATTGCCTTGTGAAACAGACCCTTTGTGCGTGGTGTCAGACACATTAGGTGTGTAGAACCCCCACCGGCACTCTCTCCGAATAGTGTAATATTATTCGGATCCCCATTGAAATTGTGTATGTTCTCTTTCACCCATTTTAGTGCCATGATTTGATCTTTTAGACCGGCATTACCGGGAATTTGTAGATCGGGGTCATCAAGACTCAGAAACCCTGAAAATTAGGGAATTTGGATTAGGTGATTTAAATTAATGAAATATTGAATGGATGCTTACCGAACACTCCCAAACGATAGGCAAAGGTAACCAGTACCACATCACGTTGCATAAAATAGTCGGGAGCATATATGTCACGAGACGCCTCACCAATTTGGAAACCTCCACCATAAATCCAGACCATGACAGGCAGGGGTTTGCTGCTGGTGAGCTAAATAAATAAAAATAATAGTTATGCAATTTTTAATCTAAACAAGAAACCAAAAGTCGGGCGGAGCCGACCATATGATACCCCATACTGCTATGTATGTATATGGGAGCTATATCTAAATTTGAAACGATTTTCATCAATTTAAATAGGGTTCGTCCTTGGGCCAAACAAAAATTTTTTGGAAAATTTCATCTTAATCGGCTAACAAACGCGACCTACATTTTGTTCCCAAGAATATATGGACAGCCGGACGGACGGACTGACATGCATAAATCGACTCAGAAAGTACGTCTATGTCGATCCTCAAAAGTAACTATGGGTTTAATTCGCTTCCTTCTCCATGATACACACAAATCTATAAAGACATAATACCTTTACGTCGGGCCGAACTTTTTATTACCTCCTCCACTATGTTTATCAAAGGTACAGTTGTATGTAGGAGTGTAATATTGCAGTTTCTGGAACTCGACTGCTATTAAGTCTTGAAATAATGGCCTGTAGTAGAAACTTCCTTTTATTCCCTTTATTCGGATATAAGTAGGACAATCATAGCAACGATCATTTACATTATAAAAATCTCTCTAACCCCATTTACCCAATTCAATAAATATTTTTTTATATATTTGTTACCGCTAAGGAAGTGGAATATCACCTCAGATACAGAACAAATAATTGCTTTGCTATCACTTCCATGGTGGCGCCCAACATCAGTTAGTCATTTGCTAAAACCACATTTTGTTTTTGCTTAGCTCAAACCTTATCCAATTATCGAAACTATCATTTCACATACACACACACACAGCTACATACCTTCTTCGAGTACACATTCAAATACAGACAATCTTCGGAACCCTCTATCATTCGTCGAACGAAATGAAATTGCATTGGTTTCGGTTTGTAATCGGTACAGTCGAGAACATCTTGCCATGGTTCCGGCGGTTGTGGTGCTCGAAATCTTAGCTCGCCCACAGGCGGTTTGGCAAAGGGAATACCTTCGAAGGCGAAATATTTATCTTCTTCGTCGTAGAGCGTTTTCCGTTTCAATCCTTTCACTTTGCCCAGCGATGTATTTATGATTTCGTATTCCTTAGTGGCCAGACGTATCTGTTGGCTTTTGTGTGCAATGAATCTGTATGAATTGGAAAATGTTAATTGCAATTTATATTGTTAATATTGAACGGGAGGGTTTGATTAGTAGTTATTGAAATATATATGTGCAAATGTACATAGAGGAATAATTGGTATCTTTGAATATTCAATAGAATTTTGAATTTAAAGTTTATTTTATTAAAGACTTTATAATGCCCCCATCACTGAAAGGAGAGTATGTTAAATTTTATATATTTTTGAAATCAACCAAAAATTCGAACGAACTTGGAATACGAAATTTGAAACAATTCCGATGAATAATGTCGCTAAAATCATTAAAATACCGTTATGTGGGGGCTATCCGAAAACGTGGACCGATATGACCCATTTTAGAACTTAACCTAACTACTGGCAAAATTAATGTGTTCAAAATTTTAGCCTTCTATCTCAATTTGTTAGAAAGATAGCGTGAGTACAACAGAAAGACGGATAGACGATATATACTTTGTAGGGTCTATTATGAATATTTCCAGGAGTTAAAAACGGAATTACAAAGAGGTCTTCAATTTGAAAAAGATTTGTCGAAGGTTAAAATTGTTCCGATATCATCAACATACCCAAGAAATTTTCAAAAACACAAAAAAACAAAATAAATAAAACCTTAGAAGTACCGAAAATAACTGTTATATTGGGATCTATACGACGACGTGGGCCTTCATAGGTAACTTTTGTCATAAGCCATTACAATATTCAAGTACGAAACTTAAAAAAATCTATTAATAATGTAGATAAAATCATCAAAACACTGAATATAAGGTGGTACCCTTATATCAGGGCTATACGAAAACCTGGAACTGCATCAGGCTGTATCACCTATTAGGCATTCCAAATACAAAATTTTTAACAGTTTTGGTGAATAATGTACCTAAAATCTTCAAAATAACGAATATAGGGAGGTACTGAGATATGGGGCATATACGAAAAATTGGGCCTGCATATCGTTATACGGAGGCTATACGAAGACGTGGGCATGCATACGTAATTTTTTGTCATAGGCTGCAGTACCCATTACAAATTCTAAATACAAAATTTGAAACAAAGTATGGAATACAGGGGGGAGGGGTTACCGTTGTATGTGGGCTATACGATATCGTGGACCTATACAGACATTTCTCTTCCAGGGGGTAAAGTGCTTAGAAAGAACTTCTAGTATGGATTTTTAGACAATTCCATTGAAAAATGTTGCTAAAATCATCAAAATACCGAACATAGGGAGGTACCGTTATATGGGGGATAAAAGATATTGTGGAAACAATACTCTTCCAAAGGGTAAAGTACTCAGAAGGAACTAGTTTTGTTGATTTTCAGACAATTTCATTGAAAATTTTGGCTACAACTATCAAAATACCGAATATCGGATGACACCGTTATAAGGGGGATTTACGATATCGTGGACCGATTTAGCCCATCTTCGAACTTGACCTGACGGCAGAAAACAAAAAATACTGTTCTGTGCAAAATGTTAGCCTCCTATCTTCATTCGTTTTGACTTCAGCGTAATTACAACAGACGGACGTGGCTAAATCGTCTCAGAATTGTACCCTAATCATGTCTAAAATTGATTATGTCCAAAATGATTCTTTTGGTGAGATACAAACGGAATGACGAACTTAATATACCCTCCATATTATGTATAGTGGAGGATATAAAAAATCGTTTAACGTAGTAAAAACTTTAGATTCTTGCAGGTTCTGCAACAATACTTTTTTTATGGATTTAAAGTTTTTCATTGGCATTCGTCTAGAAGAACTAATCAACCTTGTTTATTGTTCCACAAAATTGAATTGGATATTTTGACACTTGAAACTACAACAATTTATTTGAACTTTCATTCTCAACTTTTTATATTTTTAAAATTTGTTTCATATTCCTCATTATTCTTAAAAATTACAATGTGCCCATTTAATGGACGAAATTATAATGAGATCAACAATGAGGAGTCGAATCAAAATATTTTAGACGAAAATCAAGCAACTACGGAATCCAATGAAAACATTTTGGATCAAAATCAAGATATTTCTCCCATAACCATACGCATTGAAGTTCTGAGCAATGAAAATGAGGAAGAAACTGAGAATGTGACAGCTGGCGCCGCGGAGAATGAAGGTCTGGCTGCAGGAGCCACTGAAAATCGCAGTAATGCAAGTGTTGAAAATACCGCTACTCTAAATTCTCGAAATTCATATACGCATATGAATGGACATGATTATGATAGTAGTGGTACAGATTTTACAAATCGTTATCATTTGAATAGTCGAAGAAACCATCGAATGAATAGGAGATACCATAGGCGGCATCGTGATCGACAAATATACAAGAATTTAAAATCGATTAGAAAAATTATGGGGAGAACATTTTCAACGCTGAGAAGAATAAAATCCCTAATACAACAGGCGATGTTCTAAAGAAACTGTTTAAAGAAGCTAGTTATTAATTAAATACAAAATATGAGTTTTCTTGTGTAAAATTTTAATAAAAAGCATTATCTAATTTGCATTTTTTGTAATTGACACGTGCATGTTATTCTGCTTTCCATCATTTAAATCATGTAACCGATCAAACGCCTTTATTATATAAATAAAACGACTAACAAGTCAGAAATCATGTGCATTTTTATAATTAAAAAAAAATCAATAGAAATTATTACTGAAACCAGTATAATTTTCACAGCAATTAGGTGTCCGCACCATCCCTCACTTATATTTCCACATAATTTTACAAGCAGGAGAAAACAAATTGCTATTTAGAAAAAAGAACAAATCTTGCCTTTGCATATACAGGGTGAGATGACAAGACTGTAACGAAATTCAGGAAGCTGTCATTTATAAGCCACTCGTTCGACAGCTGTAAAAATTATTTCAGTGACAGCTCATTATATTGTTTACAAAAGTACAAAAGCATTTTGGTGAGAATTTTCCAGAAAAAAAGTTATTCGTGATGGAATTCAAGCGTGATAGTGCGGTTTTTTGTATTTGGCTGGAAAACCACAAGTGGCTATCTTTAGAGCACTTCAGCATTTAAATGTGAATAAATCTTTCATGTCCCGTACCATCGCTCAGGAAGAAAACCGAAATAGTCTCAAAAGAGCTACAGAATTGCTTCGCTTGGCCGAAAGTTGTAAACGGTGAACTGCCGAATTTGGTTTTCTCCGATGAGAAAACATTCGTTGTCTAACAGTTTATAAACAAACAAAATTATTGTGTTTACTTGCCAAAGAGGTCAGCTGTGAATGTGTACCTTCGGTTGGCCACTAGAACTCCAGCCCCGGCCATGGTGATGGTGTGGGCCGCCATAACAGCCGATGGTCGCTCTAGGATCGTATAAATCGACCGTGGCATTAGATTAAATGCCGAGTATTATCGCGAAAATATTCTGGAGGGTGCATGAAAGCCTTGGGCAGGAAAAAATTTTGGCCGCAGACCTTGGACATTCTTACAGGTCTCAGCACCATCGCATTCAACACGCGCCACCCAAGAATAGTTACAAAATGAGGTTCTTCGCTTCATTTCCAGCGGCCAATGGCCACCAATATCTCCGGATATCAATCCGTTGGACTATTGTGTCTGGGGTATTTTAGAAAGCAAGGTTGGCACCAAAAAAGTACCAAAGTGTCGGTCACTTCAAGCTAGGGCTTTGCCGGGAATGGGCCAAAATACCACAGAGCAACATTCGGGCAGCATGTGACGGTTTCATTGGCCATTTGAAGGCCATAATTCGTGCCAAGGGTGAACAATTCAAACAAATCTAAATTCTAAAATTCTAAAATTTGATGCCATTTCCGACATTTTTTGCTTTCATTCAATAAAATTAAAAAAAATCAAAATTACGGCGGTTGACTTTGTTGCATTTTTTTTATCTCACCCTGTATATGTACAAACATACATACACACATATACTACCAGTGAAGTTGTAAAAATATTTTATGTAATTAAGATTTAATATAGCATGTAAAAGTTAAAACAACAGCAACAACAATTCACATTTCATTGCAAAAGGGAAAAAGTGCTTCGTAATTCCTATGAATTGAGCGAGCATTTATTTTTGTCGCTTTCCGTTCTTGTGTTGTTTGTAAATATTCGAGCTTTTGATCAATTAACCTTTGAATTGTAGTCTATGAGTAAATAGACAAACAGACAGAGAGACAAACCGACAGACAGATAGACAGACAGTTGTGTTACAATATTTATGTCAGCCTGTAACTGTGGGAGTGTGTGTGTGTGTGGGTCCAGCATAGAAAGGGGAAGTGTTTACTTGTTGGCGTATTCTAAACAAATTGCTAATAAAAATATATTTTTTTTTTTTTTGTTTATATGGATTATTTTTTTATACGTTGCGATACAATAAAGTACAGTGTACTACAGCTTTTGTACTTTGGCACTGCTTCTTTATTAAACACTTAGTTTAATTTCTTTCTCCATTGCTTTAGTTTAAATGATTTTAAAAATAAACAAAAACAGTGCGATCATAAAAGGTCATAAAACAAATTGCGTTTCCCATTGAGAGCTATTAGCATTTATGCAAAAATCAGTTGGTGAAACTGTTTTATTTTGCAGCACATAAAACAATTGTGTTTGGATTTGAGGCGTCTTCGATTTTTGGGTCTGTAAACGTAATTTTCTAGATTGTTTAGAGGGGCATCTATCGTCACTCACAAATTGACTGATTTTTGATATGAATTCTGAAAACGGTAGACGATGGATGTTTACTCTGGGTTTGACGATGGATGTTTACTCTGGGTTTGCGGTAACTTAAAGTGTTGTATCCTTAAAGCTGGCAGAAAATCGGCGACGCTTTTGACATTTTATTACAGTTATGATTATAGAGACATTTCTTCGCGATCTTCGTGGGAAAAAAATAATGAAACCAGTGAAAAGTTTGGATTAATAAGAGATTCCACTTGCTTTATGTTTCTATAGATTATTTTTTTAAATGTTGATTGCTTGTTGGAACCAAATAGAATACACCATCCTTTTTCCAAGTGTATTTTTATAATCTACACCATGAAATAGATGATATTAGCGATTTACTGAACGTCCGTCCTAATGTCTGCTGAAATCACAATAGAAATCACGGTAGGTTCAGCCCAGACAAAATTAATGTTTTTCACTTGCTATGGGAAATTTGACTCTTTGTGGGGAAGGCATTAGAACCAAAGCTTAGACTTCCAAGGTTGTTTATGGCATAAAACATCCGTTTTAAGTTATGAGTCTTTGAATCCGAAGCTCCTGAACTACTGGATCCATATATCTGGCCTTCATACCAGATATTTTGTGAGAAGTTTATAAGTTTGTCGCTGTATATTTGTTCGTAAAATTCAAAAGAAAACGCACAGTTCACTATATTGACCCAAAGACGACCCCTGTTGAAATAAGCTTTAATCCGTCTAAATTTAGATATAGCTTTGATATATATTTATCCGATTTCAGGTTTGTAGTACACTAAATCAATAATATATCATAATAATATATCAAATCCGACTTTCCAACTCGTTTTTGAAGCCTCCACCATAGCATGGAGGGTATATTAAGTTTGTCATTCCGTTTATAACACCTCGAAATATAAAAAAGTAGACCAAACAAAGAATATATATTCTTGATCAGCATAAATTCTATGTCCATGTCCGTCCGTCTACATGTCTATTCGTCTGTGGAAATGACCCTAGCTTCCGAGTTAAATTATTTGGGTTGATTAAATTGTGTCCATATGTTTTTTTATATATTCAGGAATGTTGGGATTGTAAAATGGGCTAAATAGGTCCAGTCACACGTTTAAGCTAAATTCATTGAAATTTCGCACATTGGGTTCCCAGCTTGTTGACAACCATGTAGTCCATATTATGGTATGGATCTCATATAACTGTACCTCGATATTTTGATTATTTAGAGTTGAAAATGTAGCTCAAACCTTCAAAATACTTACAATTTAAAGGGTATATAAGGGACATACAAGATAGTATATTCTAGAAGGTAATCCTGATCATGAATGTATGAGCTCCATGAGAATTTAATCACTTATTGGAGGAGAGTGTTTCAAAAATACTTGTATGCTAGTGTAACTTAATATAAGGTACATAACATTGCAACGATAATGACTTTTAATATTTTTTTATTAGGGGTACCAAATAAAACCATAATTTGATAACTTTGTTTTTTTTTTTGTCTGCATTGTTGGTGGTCAACTTTGCCGTGATTAGAGCAGAAAATGCAGTTTATTAAACTCGACTATTATCAAGTATATGGCATACATAACTATGTATATAACATAGCTGATAAGAGTATAAATTTGGAACTCATAGATTTGTTATCAGTTGAATAACAAACTGAAGCATTCATAGTGGCTAAACATAGTTCAAATAATAATAAAGTTCGTGTTATAGATTCAACACCCATGCTGCAGAACCACTTACCAAAAAAAGGAATGCGAAAAACTTTCCATAAAAAATTGGAGCATTTCAAGATGGTCCACCGATTTGGTGACCCTCCCACGAAAGTTCTTGATTTTAGAAAAAAACAAGTAAAAAAAAAAAAACATTAAGTTCAGCCGGGTCAAACTTTTAATACCCTCCACCTTAGGGTAAAGAAACAATAGAAGAAATGTGGCAAAAACCATCAAAATACCGAAAATCGGGAGGTACCGTTATAAGGGGGCTATATCAAATCATGGACCTATACATACAATGTTTCGCCAACGGAGCTAAAACCCATTATGACTACAAATACCAATTTTCGGACAAATCCGTGAAAAAATGTGGCAAAAATCATCAAATTACCGAATGTCGGGAGGTACCGTTATATGGGGGCTATACCAAAACGTGGACCTATAAATACAATGACTCGCCACACGAACTGGAACCCATGATGATCTACAACTACCAATTTTCAGACAAATCAGTGAAAAAATGTGGCAAAAACCATCAAAATACCGAATATTGGGTGGTACCGTTATATGGGGGCTATACCAAATCATGGACCCATACATGCAATGTTTTGCCACCGGAGCTGGAACCCATTATGACCAATAAATACCAATTTTTAGACAAATCCGTGAAAAAATGTGGCAAAAAAATTAAAATACCGAATATCGGGAGGTACCTTAATATGGGGGCTATACCAAAACGTGGACCCATACATACAATGTTTTGACACCCGCACAGAGACCCATTATGACCTACAAGTACCAATTTTCAGACAAATCCGTGAAATAATGTGGCATAAATAATCAAAATACCGAATATCGGGAGGTACCATTATATGGGGACTATACCGGAACGTGGACCGATATATCTCATTTTCAATACCAACCATCCTAGACACAATACCAATTGCTCTGCTAAATTTTGGCGCTCTACGTCATATAATGTGGGCTGTATCGTGATTTCAACAGACAGACAGACGGACATCGTTAAATCGACTTAGAATTTTATGCTGATTATGAATATATATACTTTATGGGGTCTACGACGAATATTTAAGGATGTTACAAACGGAATGACAATGTTAATATATCCAAGGTGGAGGTATAAAAATATGGCGTTTGACTTTGTTGTAGTTTTTTTTTTATCTCACCCTGATTTTCTGCTGGTTCGCTCTTTGTGCGAATATGGTGCCATATTACAAATGAGCAAAATTGTCAAAAACCAAATATATCATAGAAATCGACGTGAGTATCCGATTTCCTTTAAAATGTGCACTTTCTCCACGAAGGATTTAAATTCTGGATAGCAACTCTCAAATTTCGAAATGTATTTTGTGATGAATGTGAATTGAATATGTGTGTGCACTCTGTCTGCCAACTCTCCAGCAAAGAGAATTAATGGTTATATATGCTGCTGGTATATATTTCGCAAACTGATTTATACTGATTTATTCACCTTGTTGGATTGAACCTTACCTCTTCAGACAAATAATTAATTTTACTTTTCACTGCAGAAAATTATTTTCGCATATTTCTTTGTTTGTATTGAACTAATTATTTGTTGTAACTTTTGATTTGAATTAATTAAATTTATTGCCTCATTTCCACCGAAAATTATCATCGCATTGTTCGTCACACATTTGCACTTGACTTACTTTCCCAGCAGCTTAATGAGATCAATTGCTCCAATATTTAAATCCATGTTGTCTGTTAATTTTCTTTATTTAATACCGCCACAATATTCTTTTGGCCAAATTTCCTATCCTTGTCCGAGTCGGAAAATGATATGCCGCTGTTTAAAACACACCTCGTTGGTTAATCACTTTTAAATTGACTGCTTTTTTAGAGAAAATGTAAACGAACAGAACAAAAAATGAAAAAAAATCGCATTTCATTCTGCTTCAGTTTAATCCATTATTATTTATATAGTCGCCAGTGAATGTGTGTGCGTGTGTGTTTGTGTGTGAGGAGAGTATGCCACATTCACACATGGCGGACTTTTGTTTGTAAATATATACAAAAGTTTGTTGTGTTCTTTATCGCCGTTTGTTGAAACACAAACAATTTTTGTTATTGTTTAGTTTTTGTTGTTGTTGTTGCTGCTGTTTTAATTTTTCCCTCCGCCTACCGAGGGGGACCATTAATTATACTCCACAACATCAATGCTCGCTTGTCCAGCCTATGGAACTTAATCGTATTGATAATACAACGAATACCGTTATAAACGAATAATAATCAACGCATCGAACCGGCCGTGGGCCGCGGTGCCACACGAACGCGATGTCTCGTCCAATACATTTCGAATGCGGAGAAAGAATGGGCGAGAGTGTCCGGCAACATTGCTGGCAACATTCGTTTAGCTCAAAAACCTCACATGTAGTACTTATTCGATGGATGTTCGAGTATATGAGTATGTGTGTGTGTGTGTTTGCACTTGTGCTAAAATAAGTTGTATAGGTCGTATACGTCGTCGTGGTTTGTATACGACAAAACTGAAGTATGCCTGATGTTGTTGCATTCGCCTGTCCTATAATTATATTGCTAGAGATTCCATTGGAATTCTGCGAGTTGGCGTTGGTTTTTTATCTTTTATTGTTATTGTTGTCGTTGCTGCTGCTGATGTTCGTATTGACGTAATTTCATAGTACTTGGAGGTGACGTTTTTATTGTTGTTACATTTGTTGATATCTCTGCCGGTCATTTTATAGGTTCTAGTTTTATTTCAGTTTGTTTACAATTGTTTTGTTTTGCATTACTTGCTAGCGTGGACAGTGTTTTGAAAGGGATTTTATAGTTTGATAAAGTAATTAAAAGAAATATATTTTTGCCTATGGTAGTTCGGAGTAAGGGAAGAACATTTAAAAATATTCCTTGTCATTCAGTTTGAACTATTTGATCCCTGTAATGATTGTTGGTGATAACAGCCGAAACTTTATACACAATATACGAATATTTTCCAAAGAAAATATAATGTTACGAATATTTTCCAAAGAAAAACAGTTGACTTTAAAACTGTCAACTTTAAAAAATGTGGGAAATTAACGTTTGGGGAAGCCAATGACAGCAATCGCCGATTTGGCAGATTTTTCAATTTGCAATGGGTATAGCGTATTGAAAATTCATCGCTCTGTTTAGAGTGTGGAAATTTTTATGTTGAAATACAAAAAATATATGTATATGATTAGTTTAAGAACAGAGGTTAATGTTATACGGTTTAGCTATATCGGACAAGGATAACAACAGGTTTACAGGTAATCACTAAAGGAGTATGGCTCCCCCTGACCTCGAAGAATTAGCCTGCTGAAATAGGGCTTTGTTGAATACAGGATGAGATAATCGGTCAAAATTTATATCATTTTTATTTATATTGGATTAGATTAAAAAATAGCTGATCTATATATCGCCATAATTTTTAAATTTTGTTTTTAACTTTATTGAATGAAAGAAAAAAAAATGTCGGAAATAGCAGTATAGATTTGTTCGAGTTTGTCACCTTTGGCACGAATTATGGCCTTCAAACGGCCAATGAAACCACCACACATTGCCCAAATGTTACTCTGCGGTATTTTGGCCCATTCCCGGCGAAGCGCTTGCTTGAGGTGATCGACACTTTGGTATTTTTAGTGTCAAACTTGCTTTCCAAAATACTCCAGACACAATAGTCCAACGGATTGGCATCCGGAGATTTAGTGGTCATTGTGCGCTGGAAATGAAGCGAGGAACCTCATTTTGTAAGCATTCTTGGGTGGCGCGTTCTGAGTGAGATGGTGTTGAGTCCTGTTGGAATGTTCAAGGCCTGCGGCCAAAATGTTTGCGTGCCCAAGGCTTTAATACACCCTTCCGAATATTTTCGCCATAATATTCAGCATTAATTCTGATGCCACTATCGATTAATACTAGCGGAGAGCGACCATCTGTTGTTATGTCGGCCCACACCATCACCATGGCCGGCGCTAGCGTTCTGGTTACCAACCGAAGGTCCACATTTTCGGCTGACCTCTTTGGCAAGTAAACAGGATCCTTTTTTTGTTTACAACTGCTGGACAACGAATGTTTTCCCAACGGAGAAAACCAAATTCGGCACTTCTCCACTTTCGGTTAAGCGAATCAACACCTTAGCTCTTTATACATTACACCACAAGGTGGTCAGGGTATTATGTCTTTGTTCATTTGTTTGTAAGAGGCAAAAGGAAACGAGATAGACCCATAGTTCCTTTGGATGATCTGCATAGAATCACATTCTCTGTCGATTTATGCATGTCCGTCTGTCCAAGTATTTTTGTAAACAAAGTACAGTTCGCAATTATTGTCTTATCCAGATGAAATTTTGCACAAATCATTTGTTTGGCCCAAGGACGAACCCTATTGATATTGGAGATAATCGGTCAAAATTTAGATATAGCTCCCATATATATCTTAGTCCGATTTGCCTTTTATTGTGCACATAAACATGTAATATAAGCCCGAATTGTATGAAATTTTGCACATACAACCAAATTAGGCCTGAAAATAAGTGTACCAAATTTGATCGAAATCGGTTCAGATATGGCTATAGCTCCCATATATATTGTTCATCCGATTTGTTATTTTTGTCCTCCGCAGCCGTAATATACACTCTGTAACAACAATATTTTGGGAAATATATCAAATACAGCCCAGAAATACATCTGCTAAATTTTATCGAGATCGGTTCAGATTTGGATATATCTCCATACATAAATTCTTCCGATTTACCTTTTATTGTGCACCAAACGTCTAACATTTGTCCAAATGGGATGAAATTTGGTACTTAGGACCGAATTTTGTCTAGAAGCTAGTATGTCAAATTTGGTGAAGATCGGTGCAGATATAGCTATAGCTCCCATATATACTGTTCATCCGATTTGTCGTATTTGTTACCCACAGCCGTAATATGCACGATATTCAGGGAGATATATCAAATACAGCTCAGAAATATCTTTACGAAATTTTATGGAGATCGGTTCCGATTTGGATATAGCCCCATATATTTCTTAATCCGATTTCAAATTAATTCTGTACCAAATGAGTAATACAAGTCCGAATTTAAAAGATACAAATGCTTCGGCATATTTAGTCCTTTGAACTTTAAATTATAATCATAGCGTGTATGATTGAATTCCCTCATAAAAACTTTTAATTGTTATGCGCAGCTCTACTAAATTAGCAATGTGCTGTAGTGTACCATAAAGTCGGCCCCGCCCCACTTTAAGACTTTGTTTACTGGTTTCTTTCTGTTGCGGTGTAAGTTTTTGCATTTTTGGTATTTCAATGGCTTTACTCCGAGCTCATTTTTCAATATTTGCTAAATAGAATATTGCGATATGTTCAGCTCACGAGCCATTTTTCGGCCACTGCGATGCGGGTTTCGATCAAGTCGCTTCTTTATTTTCGAACGATTTCTGCTGATGTTGCTGTTTTCTTCCATCCACTTTCTTGACACCGGGTTACGCTACCAGTATCACGGTAACGAGCGATGGTACGAGACACAAAATATTTATTCACATTTAAATGCTGGAGTGGTCTAACGATAGTCACTTGTGATTTTCCAGCCAAATATAAGGAAATCACACTATCCCGATTGAATTCAATCATGAATAACTTTTTTTGCTGGAAAATTCTCACCAAAATGCTTTTGTACGCTTGTAAACAATATAATGAGCTCTCACTGGAATAATTTCAACAGCTGTTGGACGAGTGGCTTAGAAATGACAGCAATTTGAAGTTGGTTGTAGTTTTTTTCATCTCACCCTGTAGGTAGGTACCATTATATAAGAGTTACACGACGATCTGGACTTGCATATGGGATTTTCTCTCAAAGGATGTAGTAGCCATTAGAACTTCAAATTGCAAATTTCAAACATTTCCGGTAAAAAATGTGACACGAATCATCCAAGTACCGAATATCTGGAGGTACAGTTGTATGCGGACTATACTAACACTTAGACCTATATTGACATACCAAATCGTAGTCCTTTTTCAATACCATATGACCTATTTTCAATACCAAAAGTCCTGCAGATTTAACACACATCCGAGTGAAATTTTTATCAACTTTCTTCATTACGTTCAGACGGACAGACTGTCGGTATGCTGATTAAGAATATATATACTCTGTGTTATAAACGGGATGGCAAACTTAATACAGGGTTGCCCATATTCGACGGACCCATGTTTGTTATGCGACTTGTGTGCGGTGGAGCGCCGTCTTGTTGAAACCAGAACTGCCTCATAATTGGCATCACCAAATTGGTCATCATGTCGCGATAACGCTCCTGATTGATGGTAACAGCATGGCCATTTTCATTTTGGAAGAAAAACGGCCCAATGACCGTTTTCGCCCTAACGCCGCACCAAACTGTGACTTTTTCGTCATGGAGAGGCACTTCTTGAATCTCCTGAGGATTTTCAGTGGCGTAAAAACAGTAATTTTGCTTATTTACGGTCCCATTCAATGTGAAATGGACTTCATCGGACATGATAATTTTGTTCCAAAATTGCTCGTCATCTTCGGCCTTTTCGATGACTCTTTGGGCCCATTCCATTGGCGTGTATCTCTGTCAAAAGTTATGGCGTTGCCAGATGGGTCCGTCGAATACAGGCAACACTGTATACCCTCCATACCATGTTGGAGGGTATAATCATTGCATGAAAACTTTTCCATAAATTCACTGTGAACCGCAACTATTTACTGTTGGAAAACACTCAATTTACAAAATCAAAATAACGGCAACGCCATCGGCCATATACACAACCATACGCACACATGAAACCCGACAGCATCAAAACAGACACATAATGTCCGTTGTTTTATTTGTTTTCGCGTTGCTACGAAACTATTCTGGGAACAGTCGGATTCACCAGACAACCTACACGCTGTCCACGTTGTCAGCAAGCGATTCCGTAAAAGTTCAACGTAAACTATTTGCTCCAAAAAAATATAAATGTAAAAGTATGAGGCTAATAGACTACTCTGGCTGGACACGACATCGATGGAACTTGGCGTAAATGACCGCTGGCCCACCCATTAGGCCGTAACGTTTGTCTCCATTTGGCCATTTGTGTCGATACCAACTGAATAGGTTACGTAGATCTAATCATCCT